ACCATTGTTCTTAGTTCTTCATTGGTGACCCTGACTCTTCTTATTTTCCCACCACAGTTCTTATACATCTCATTTCACATGTCGTAATTTTGTGTTTGTTTTTTCTAGGACTGCTCATGTCTGGCATTGATAGCACAAAGTTGGTACAAACAGCACATTTGCTTGACTGTTCTCGATACCTGACAGAAATGAGTTATCTACTCTTGGCATAGTTTGCTGTGTTAGTACAAACAGCACATTTGCTTGACTGTTCTCGATACCTGACAGAAATGAGTTATCTACTCTTGGCATAGTTTGCTGTGTTAGTACAAACAGCACATTTGCTTGACTGCTCTTGAAACCTGACAGAAATGAGTTATCTACTCTTGGCATAGTTTGCTGTGTTATTACAAACAGCACATTTGCTTGACTGCTCTTGAAACCTGACAGAAATGAGTTATCTACTCTTGGCATAGTTTGCTGTGTTAGTACAAACAGCACATTTGCTTGACTGCTCTTGATACCTGACAGAAATGAGTTATCTACTCCTGGCAAACCAAAGCCTTCATTATAAAAATCCTAGTTTGCTGTGTTAGTACAAACAGGCATGAAGCCAGATCCTGACTGTTCGCAAAGGAACAGTTTTCTGAAATCTGCACTAGTATAATATGATACTGTTAAATTCCATCTAATTCTGTTTTGAACTGATTTCAGCATGTGTCTTATGTAGTGCAAATCTCACTTCATTTCACATGACAATTTGCATCTAATACTGACTTCTGCTTGAGCATCTTCAAGATAATCAAAATATATGAGACAGTTTTTTTATGTAACAGTTTGGCTGCACAAAATTAATACTCACAGATACCCGTTTCAGGGAATTCAGTGTCTTATAATAAATAGCAGTACAGTATTCACACTAAATGAATGAATATTTCTCCTGCAAACATTTATTTAACTCTGCATGCTAAGTTTCTGAGTTCTGCATGAAGCCAGATTTTTTCATACATAACCTTGGCTCCCAGATGGACTCAGCCTTAAATGAGCACAAGGAAATGCCCTGGGAACTAAGGTGGCCAGCATGATGTTGACCCTATCACCCACCAGGGCCAACTTGTCAATAAAAATATGGGTCCAGCCTCATATGCCCACTGTATCATTAGCATGTAAAGGTTTTCATTTACTTTTGATGAATACGAGTTAATTGTTTCGTTGCATCAAGAGCAATAGTACATTTAAAATTCAAAATCAGGGCAAAATGGGGAAAAAAGTCAGTGATGAGTTATCCCATAATTATCACCTGGAAATATCAGAGAAAAAATACACTAGACCTCTGAGAGTTAAACAAAACCAAATCAAAGTGTATGTTCTATAAACACAAAATCAGACAACTGGACTGGAATTTGAAATAATGAAAAGAAATCTAATGCTGTTTCTGGTATCCACTAGTCCACTTTCCTCTCCTTTAGTCGAAAGTTTTTCTTGCCAAGTGCCTTCATTAAATCTTTGCCCATGAAATAAGGCTTTTCTTGAGTCCCATCATTGCGGTCAATGTCATCCACTGTTTGAAGAAATAAGACATGTTTTCAGTCAGTATTTGTGTTGATTGTGAAGATTACATATACTGCAAACATGTGTATGTTGTCAGGACTAAATATGTTTGACATAAATGTATATGTTGTCAAAATTACATATTCTTTAAATATAAATGTACAGTGTCAAAATTACATATACTAGAAATATATGTGTACATCTCTTACATGCGGGAAGAGGGGTGTTCTTTTTCTGTTTCCTCTCTTCTTTCTTCCTTTTTCCTTCTTATTCTTTAGCATTCCAATCCCTTGAGGCTAATTGCTGCAGACCTCGCCTGCCTCCATTCATCTCTATGATGTCTTTTCATTCTAGATGATGACCCAAGTGATTCTAGGTCTACCTGTAAATTATTTCTTTCATCTGTCTTTTTGGTGTGCCTCAAGATCTACTCCAATTCACTCTTACAGGTACATAGTTTTTGTTTATCTGTTGTCTGTCATTCTTTGTACAGGCTACCAACTGTTACAGTCTATGAGCCCTCATGATGCCAGTAATTTAAGCATGTTACACATTTCTTTACACAAACTATTTATTCTTAGAATAAAAAAACTTACAGAAACACAGAAAAATTGTGTCAACTGCCATTTCATACACACTGAAGAAGATATCTGCTATGATGTAGGAACCAATTATCACAATCTGGGGATAAGAAACAAACTAGTAAGTTAAAGAAATAATGGATAAATAGAATTTCATCGAGGAAAAATGTATTTTTTGTGTAGGTTACCTGAATTGTAAAATAACTATTGTCTCAGGCATTTTTTCTGTATTAAGTTTGAAACTATTGGCAATATCTGAACTTCTGAAGCAAAGACTGTGACCATATTTGTAATTCCAGCCAGTCTGTCCATGCTGAATCAAGGCATTCTCCAGCTACTTACTGGGCAATGGGGCGCTCCAGCTCATCTGTGCTAAATCAAGGCATTCTCCAGCTACTGGGCAATGGGGCACTCCAGCTCATCTGTGCTGAATCAAGGCATTCTCCAGCTACTGGGCAATGGGGCGCTCCAGCTCATCTGTGCTGAATCAAGGCATTCTCCAGCTACTTACTGGGCAATGGGGCGCTCCAGCTCAGCTGTGCTAAATCAAGGCATTCTCCAGCTACTGGGCAATGGGGCACTCCAGCTCAGCTGTGCTAAATCAAGGCATTCTCCAGCTACTGGGCAATGGGTCACTCCAGCTCAGCTGTGCTAAATCAAGGCATTCTCCAGCTACTGGGCAATGGGGCACTCCAGCTCATCTGTGCTGAATCAAGGCATTCTCCAGCTACTGGGCAATGGGGCGCTCCAGCTCATCTGTGCTGAATCAAGGCATTCTCCAGCTACTGGGCAATGGGGCACTCCAGCTCAGCTGTGCTAAATCAAGGCATTCTCCAGCTACTGGGCAATGGGGCACTCCAGCTCAGCTGTGCTAAATCAAGGCATTCTCCAGCTACTGGGCAATGGGGCACTCCAGCTCAGCTGTGCTAAATCAAGGCATTCTCCAGCTACTGGGCAATGGGGCACTCCAGCTCAGCTGTGCTAAATCAAGGCATTCTCCAGCTACTGGGCAATGGGGCGCTCCAGCTCATCTGTGCTGAATCAAGGCATTCTCCAGCTACTGGGCAATGGGGCACTCCAGCTCAGCTGTGCTAAATCAAGGCATTCTCCAGCTACTTACTGGGCAATGGGGCGCTCCAGCTCATCTGTGCTGAATCAAGGCATTCTCCAGCTACTTACTGGGCAATGGGGCGCTCCAGCTCATCTGTGCTGAATCAAGGCATTCTCCAGCTACTTACTGGGCAATGGGGCGCTCCAGCTCAGCTGTGCTGAATCAAGGCATTCTCCAGCTACTGGGCAATGGGGCGCTCCAGCTCATCTGTGCTGAATCAAGGCATTCTCCAGCTACTGGGCAATGGGGCACTCCAGCTCAGCTGTGCTAAATCAAGGCATTCTCCAGCTACTGGGCAATGGGGCACTCCAGCTCAGCTGTGCTAAATCAAGGCATTCTCCAGCTACTGGGCAATGGGGCACTCCAGCTCAGCTGTGCTAAATCAAGGCATTCTCCAGCTACTGGGCAATGGGGCACTCCAGCTCAGCTGTGCTAAATCAAGGCATTCTCCACCTACTGGGCAATGGGGCACTCCAGCTCAGCTGTGCTAAATCAAGGCATTCTCCACCTGCTGGGCAATCTGGCACTCCAGCTCAGCTGTGCTAAATCAAGGCATTCTCCAGCTACTGGGCAATGGGGCGCTCCAGGTCAGCTGTGCGCCGTTGGCTTAGCCATAGATGAACAAAGTGCATCACTTTTCCATGACTGACCTTAGGCAGACGCAAAATGGCTGTCACATGTGTTTAATGTGTGTTAAGTTCTTTTTAGTGTTGTCATTGAGTAAAATTAATAAGTGTTTTACCTTCACTTTTGACAAGCGGTGTTTCCTTGAAATAGATTTAATAAGTTCTTCATGTGATTCTGTTTGGATTTATGTTCAATATGTTGTTTATTCGAGGAGCAGCATTTCAAAGGTAGGAAGGAAAAACAATTATTGTTACAATACTACACTATGTCCTATGATTTCTTCGTTTGCTAGTACAGTTTATCTTATTTTATATCTTATATTAACATTTTAAAAATTATTAAATATTACAAATTCTAAGCGGGCTTAGAATTTGTAATAAGCGCTCCATCCCCATCTTCAGCAGCCAGCGAAGAGTACCGATACTAATGGTGCCAGTAGCATTCTGATTAAACGTCCGTCTTGCCTTTCCTCTGAGCCTCGAGCATCTGCCAGAACTTCTCGTCACTCCCCCCTGCATCAATCTCACCAGACAGTGGTGATCCGTCTGCTCCCCCCCCCCCCCCTCTTCCCGAACTGTACACACTCTCCCACAAGGCACTAACCCCGTCTGCCTTATCATGTATCAGCATTCTACTAAGTTGTGCAGAGCCCTTTGGGAGCGAGTGAACAGTGCAGAGGCACAGATAGATGATTACGGTCTGAGGAGAATAACACTGCGAAGAGTTACAAGGGGATCTGGCCAACGCTCAACACTTAACAGAAAGGCTAGACTGATATACAGTCAGACAGTTACTAGTGCCATTGGAACTTTAACTTTTCGCTTGCTGCTGAAGATGGGGACGGAGCTCTTATGGTGGTGTCCTGAGAGCTGTGATGTTGATTCTCAATTCAACAGAGGTGATGAAAAGAGGCTGGCTCTGGATAGTAGGTCGTAAATTGAGAACAATTAGTTTATATTTAAGTTTTGATGAATGGAATAATCTGCGGAAGATAGCATAGGAGATTTAGTATGAGTTAAGTGAGAGGCGACTATTTGTTAGGGAATAAGATCATGTGTGCATGTGTGAGCACACACATGCACTCACTCACACACTTTCACACACACACATATATTTTTACACACATAAGTAAATTGTTTAAATAGACTTACAACTATTGGCACAATGTAAAAGTTTAGTACTGGCTGGTACTCTTTCAGGAAATCTATTCTTCCATCAAAGAAGAAATAGGCAATGACACCTGTAAGAAGTGACATGGAAAAGTAGCAACTTTAAATACAATTTGTAAAGTCATTTAAGTAATTAATATTCAATTCTTGTTTCTCGTCTGTAATGAAAAATGTTTAGCCTTGCACTGCAAAAGTTTCTACCAAAGCTGAAAAGTTTGTGTCGTTTGAAATAAACAAAAATAGAAATGCAAAATTCTTTCAAAAAAGAAGTTATGATAGTAGTTACTACATTAATGGGAATAATAAATCAGAAGATTAAAACTTAGAAATATTTTGAAGGAAGAATGCTCCAAAGATATGCAAGAAAAGATTAATAAGAGCAAAACAAGAATAAGCATTTGTATATAAACAAGGACAAATATTTCAAAGCAAAATACTAATATTTCCAGTTATTTACTGAAAAGCTGTACATATAAACTCATTGTTGGATAGCTTAATGTGAATAAAACAATACTCTGAAAGACAGATTTTTAGAATTTATCACATCTAAAAATGTATAAATGTATAAGTTAGATAAAGCTAACTATTTATGAGATGAAAAAACAATAAATTGTATTCCACGTGGGTTTAAACAATATGCCACTGGTAAAGATTTTTAAAAAAAAAACTGTTTTGGAAATTTTTTTGACCATTCGAGCTGATACCAGGAAATTTAGTGGTTAAACGCAAACTATGACAACGAAGATCAACTACAAAAAAGGGATTGGGGTGGGAGGGGGGGGGGGGGGGGGTTGATGGAATAGGGAGTGGATGGGGAGGGGGTAATGTCAAATATTTTGACATCATCCATCAAATGTTCATTAATGTACTAAATTACCAGGCTAGTAACATATACCTATGACATACAAAGGTCTTGGAAACAGTTTTTTTTTAAAACTTTACTTAGCGATTATTTGAGAATTTATGTCCTCTAGCCCAGAGACATATCTACGGTGAATTTTCATATCAATAGGAAGAATGAAATCAACATACAATGTGCTGAATGAAAACAGGTGCTGGGACAACTATCACCACTTCTGACACATAGAAGTATACTTTTGTCTACCAAGGCAAATGTAATAACTATCATTTAGCTAGCTTTATTCTTCCTGTGTCAAATATGGACCTTAACGAAAAGGAATCAGGAAAAAAATCATTATAAATGAGATGATGAATTAAGAAATGCTGCCTGGGTAACAAGAAGAGATAAAGTTAAAAATGAACAGAAACCAGACAACTAGGACTTAAAGGGATCATACAATATATTAAAGAAAAAAGGGTCGATTCCTGGCTCAGTAACTATAGCTTTTAAATGTTAAGATGTCTAGTCTGTCTTCTATCTTCCTACTTCTTTCTATGAGTGCAGGTCAATACAATGTATATTTGTTTATTATATACATAATTTTTTTTTCTTTTTCCAATGAGATGATCTGGCCATGTGATGAGAATGCCACTGTGAGCCATGCTGAACAAATATAATAGATGCATAGTAAGGAGAAAACAATGCAAAACATGGAATGATGACATCAAGAACAGCCTCAAAGAAGTAAAGAAATAGTGACCACCATACACAACGTACTGGACAGAGCAAACACAAGATTCTAAATCTGACCCCACCGCTTTGATGAATTGACTGGATGAAGTGAAGCACAAGAAGAAGATCATAGGATAGAAAAGTAGCAAGAGAGATGGAAATATTTGCTGATATATTTCTCAAACATCTTACCTACTGCCCCAACTATGACCAGTTTGGAAACAAACAGTAAAAAGTCTGTGACTTTATCCAGGACAAAAGCCCTCACACAGTTCCTTAAAATGAGGTCAAAAGCCCGCTTGGCAGAGCTGCAGAAATTGTTGCCATAGACTGCCATCTGGGGAATAAACAGCAGACACATCTAAATTTAATGAGTAGACACGAAAAATACCTCTTAGGACCTGAAGTTCTGGGTAGTTTTGTTGAATGTTCTCAACTCAGCATCATAACCTGAATCATTTACTCATCCTACCTCCTTGAGAGCATTGGGAATATCGGCCAGGTCCATTATTTGTCCTGTATTTACTGTGGCCTCAACAGCAAGCCAATCTGCTCGTTTATTCCCTCTTACCCCAGAGTTCCCTTGTATGAAAATGAAACTTTTCCTGCTTGATGCATTTCCTCAGTGTCTCCAACCATTACTTTAAAACCAATCCTGTCTTGATCTTCTGAAGCCTGCTTATAAAATCACTTAGAAAGCACGAAGAGTCTCCATACAATCAGCTGTGGGAAGACATGGAAATCACAGTCCGTGGTGAAGGTAAGTGTGACTATCAAGACCCGCACATGTTAAGAAAAGTCTTCTACAGTTAGAGCATGGGATTTCACAACTTATCTCTAGCCTGCAATATTGAAAACAGCAGTTCTCTAGCCTGCAATATTGAAAACAGCAGTTCTCTAGCCTGCAATATTGAAAACAGCAGTTCTCTAGCGTGTTATGATGTAGCTGATATAATTAATCAGTTTTGGCTTGTAAGTATTTGCAAACAATATAAGTATTCATTTTTGTCTTTTCTTTGCATCAATTTGACTTATCTCTTGCCATACTTACGTACTAAATCTCAACCATGTATACACCAACTTACCATTATATATGCATTTTTGCATAGAAATTTCAAGAATTTCTCCAGGCACCAGAAGCAACATTTTAGGCACCTGCAAACAAAAGATTCGACATAAAACAATAAGATGCATGTTGTTTGATACCCATACACAGGTTAAACAACAACACTGTACATAACCAGCAAACAAACTTGGTACACATGATAAAAGATTGTAAATTTTCCTTGGCATCACACGGATGTGAGTCATGGACCAGTCAATAGATAAGAAGATCAGGGCTTTTGATATCAAATGTTACACAAGCATCCTTAGAATACCATGGTTAAGAAAGAAGAAAATATACCAGAAAAGAAAACTAGTTCATCCTAGTGAACAACAAAAAATAATTACCAAGATGCTATAACACCTGTATTTCAGAAATCCCTGAAAACAAATACCTTTAAAATTATTTTTAACATGTGTCAAAGAGAAAAAAAAACTGAAGAAACTAATTTTGAGATATGAACCAGTCTAACAACAAATACTATAAAGATTGAGGAAAGTAATTAATAAAAACAAATGCAGCAGAGAATTTACTAGTTTTCATTTCTCTGAACCTTGAAAAATAACTGTAGCATGACAATTACTTGACCCATTGGTTCTGCTTCCCAGTAACCATATGATTAGTAGGGAAAATATGAGGTAAGAATTTTTATAAATAAGCCACTTATTCACAAGGAAACCCCTTTAATGCTAATTTTAGAAAATATAATCATCCCACATCCTCTAAAATTTTGAACAAATACAAATGATATTAATTCTGAAAACTGTATAGTTATCCACATGTGGGATGCAATTTTTCATTTTTCTGAAGCTCCACCCCTGGCTTTTGCTGGGGGCCCTGAATATAGCCAGGCCATAAATATGGCTGAAAGGGGGTTTCTGGGACCTCTCCATGGGTGATATTCATCCAAATGGTGGCACTTTGTATCATCAGGTGCTTATCACTTGTGATATGTCCTGCTGGGGTACAACAAGAGAGATAGAGTATCAATTCTGTCAGCAGTGCTTCTCATAAACAAGTTGCTATAGCAAACAGGGAGCACAGCTCTTATGGGAAAATGGCACCAGCCAGAAGTTCCAGGTAAGAGACCCTCTCGAGGTGATAGGGTTAGTGGCATTATATCTCATTAAGTGAACAAAACTTTATTTATATTAAAGCTCTAGCAATGAAAGGCATAAAATTTGGGGGGGGGGGGGGGGGGGGGGGGGCGTGGGGTCGGGTTCAAGAGCTCACCTTGGAATGAAAATATGTGATCCAGGGCAACTGGAGGCAGTGTAGTGATTTATTTTTGTCATGTTAGCTTATAAAGTAACACAATAATTGGGTCATATTCTGATATAATATCAAAAGACAATTTCTGCTCATTGCTAATTTTTATCCTCTTCCTTCTCCATTTCTTATTCTGCCACCTTTTCAACTCCTAATAGAGCAAATACTCTCAACTTAATCAAGCTCTTTGAAGAATTATTTGCTACTGGTTATAAGTTCTGATTTAAGAATCAACATCACTGTATTCCCATAAGCACTCTATCCCCATCTTCAGCAGCAAGTGCAGAGTTTCCTTGCCAGTAACAGTCTCATTGTATGTCATCTCATCCCTTCCTTGAGAGCCAGATGCCACTGTCAATCCTTGCTGCCCCATTCTCTTCAGACAGTGATGATCTGTTTGTGCCTCTGCACTGTCTACTCACTCCCAAAGGATATGTAGCTTGCCATGCAATAATTTACCACTAAATGGTGCAAAACCGGTCAGTCTATCTGCCTGTTCTTTTCCCAACACATGACTGGTTGACACTGTCAGCTTAAGTTTTCTACTGATGAGGTAGCCAGTCTGATGACAACCCTCCTCAGTGGCCCTTTAGTCATGCATGAAAGGTTACAATGGTGCCATTATTTTGCTTTTCTTATGACTCCTGGTGACACACATTGAACATCAACCTACTTGAGTAAAAATTTGGCAATAGGATTCTCTGTTCCCTTGAGTTTGCTGTCCAGGTACTCCAGGAAGGCTCTAATCAACTGAACAATGGCTATAAGCAAGGAACCAAAAGCCAGTGAACCCAGATGGTACCTAAGATAGATTTAAAATATGGTGATAAACTTGAAACAAGACAGAGAAGAAAACATTTGAATACAAGAGAACATTTTTACCAAAGTCAAAAAGAATAAAGACAAAAAAGGTTTGCTGCAATAACAATCATAAAACATAATCCACATGTTTCAATGAAGCTATCTCATGAAGTTGCAGTTTTATTTCTGTTATTTTTTAAAATTATTCTATAGCCTAAGTACAAAGTTATAACAAATAATTCCTCTACTGTATAATGTGTCAATGAGACTGCCTGTTTAAAGATCTTATAAATCACTGTATATACACAATGTATGTGTATATAGAAACACACACAGAGGGACACACACATTAAGTCTATTCTGTAAATGTGTCATTAATGTAACAGAAATTTTATTGACAAGAGAAATTCAACTTGAAAGATGGAATTTGAAAAACGTAATGTTGCTGCTAATTAGCAATCATGGTGTTGCTGATTATATATTTCTTCCCCAGGGTTCCTGGTTTATGGGAAACAAGAGACCCACTCCCCCCCCCCCCCCTCAAAAAAAAAGCATTTCATAAGACTTGATAAATTAGGAGTTCTCTTCAAAATGGCAGTGCATCTGTAACAGTCTGCTTTATATAAAAGCCAGATTTCTAAAATGGATGTGCATGCAAAACTCAAGTTCTAGAAGAAGACACAATTCCAGAAATAGATGGCCATCCAGAATATTCTGTAGGAGTTTAGAGTTGAAGAATGTGAAGAAGTAGGAGAAGAGGTGTATCCTCTGAAGTCTGGCAGAGAGGTAAGAAAACAACAGTTCTGCATACAAATAACTAAGATCTGCAAAACAGATATGCACACAAAACTGAAATTCAGGAACACGATTCAAGTCCAAAAGTGTACGAACAATTATAACTGTTCTGCCGAAGTTTACAGCCGGTAAACAAAACTGGTAAATTCCACGAAGAAGAAAATATTTCTGACTAAAAAAGATCCATACAAATACATCTCTCCAGACACAAAAACACCTCTTTAGACACAAAAACACCTCTCCACATACAAATACCTTCCCACATACAAATACCTCCCCACATACAAATACCTCCCAACATACAAATACCTCCCCACATACAAATACCTCTCCACATACGAATACCTCTCCACACACAAATACCTCTTAACATACAAATACCTCCCCACATACAAATACCTCCCCACATACAAATACCTCCCCACATAAAAATACCTCTCCACATACAAATACCTCTCCACATACAAATACCTCCCCACATACAAATACCTCTTAACATACAAATACCTCCCCACACACAAATACCTCTCCACATACAAATACCTCTCCAGCCTCCTCTCATATATCACACAAAACTAATCTCAGTATGGCACATAATTTGCACAGCAAAGGGTAGTCAAAAGAGACGTAAAATCTTGCGTTCATTGGGCCTCTAGGAAGGATTCTATGAACGTATGATGCGTTCCTTGGGACTCAAAGAGTTAAGCAGTTTTTTTTTTTTTAATTAATACGTTTTTTTATTTTTAAATTTTGCCTGGGCAATGGCTGGTTTTTATCTGTTTCTAAAAGCAAAGAAATCTTTGTCAAATACCTGGCACACACGGTCCCTCTAAGTTTTGTTTAACCCTTGTCTGGGACAACCAGATGTATGATCCACTGTGTGGCTTTCATGGGAGAGCAAACAATACTTTTTCTTGTTTAAGACGTTTACATACACTTTCTCTGACTTTTTGTAACTGTCTTGCCAATTGTTTTCCAAAAATCTCTCTCTCTCTCTCTCTCTCTCTCTCTCTCTCTCTCTCTCTCTATATATATATATATATATATATATATATATATATATATATATATATATATATATATATATATATATATATATATATATATATATATATATATATATATATATATATATACACACACACACACACACATATATATCACAAATGAAAGGTGCTGCCTGAGCTACTGACGCAATTATATTATATACATATATATAATACAGTTTGCCATGGATTACTATGAGCAGAAAAAAAACACTGAAGTTTGATCACATAGTTATTATGCTAAACATATATTTCTCAAATCAGTTATTTGATTACCTGAAGCATCTCCAAAGTGCACCCAGTACAGGGAACATTGGAATATCTTTTGGCTTATTGAACGCCCAGTACCAACTGGCAAAAGCTCCTGACAGTGTTAGCTGTCCTAGGGCTGACACAAAGTTGACCAGCCAGAAGAACATAAACAGGTTGAAGATCTGCAGGTATATTGTGTAACTGCAATAGAGAATTACCTGACATGTATATAAGTATGTCTTTTAATTCTTTTGGTCCCAATGCATTATATGTTACTGAATATCACCCAGATGTCTCAAACATCACATCAAGCGTTTTCTTATATTTAAGTTTTGGTCAGTGCATACTAAGAAAATCTGGCAACCATTACAACACTATAACACAGCAAGTGGACAAAATTCTCCTGGCAATATTTAATGAAAAAATAACAATTTGTTTTCAAAATCTCATGAGACGGAAAGAGTTAATATGCATAGATAACATAACAATTGCTGAATAAATGTATGTCAAAGCAAAGCTGAAGTCATTCAAAGTTACACAAAATACAATGCTTTATAATCAGTAAAGTATAGTATGGTAGAAGTGTTGGCACCTTTCCATTATATCCAGATGATAGTTTTATACTGTGCTGTGAGGAGGGAGGCAACTCAAAGCCCATGGCCAGGGCGGATGTGACTAGCAAGAGCTACTTGCATTAAGTTATGTCTTCCACAATCAGAGCATGAGATTGCAGAATTGTTGTTGCCATCATATGAATTTAGTGCACTTCTTCTCAGACACTCAGCACTCATCTTTTTTGCAATGATTTCTTCATTTGTATTCCTTTCTGGTCTAAAATGGAGGATTAGGCATGACAGAATGTTAAGCTTTGAAGTTATTATTGTTGCCTCTGGCAGAACTTTGCTAATGCAGTTTCCACATTTGGCCATTAGTCTACGGTTTCGCTGTCTGAGCTACTGAGTTTAGTGATTGGTGCAGCTCTGTGCAACGGCCGTGTCACAGTATTCAATATGGCCAGTAGCCGAATTACGAGTGAGCTGGTGAAATATGTAATAATTCTACGTGTGTATTACCCATTTATCATGCCTGACTACAATCATCAAAGACAAACTGCATTTCTGGTGGTGACTGTTAGCTTTGGCACCTCTAGCAACTGCCATATGCATTTAGCGTATACACATATTTCTTGATTGTTCAGGGTCTAATTGTTTGTTCACCAGTTTTTCAAATGAGACAATGAGGGACACTTCATTTGATTTCCACTGGCACAGGAACGGATCAAGTATGGGGAAACCTAATTACAGTGAAGAAAGTCGACTAAAACTAATACTTCTTTTTACCTTTCTGATTTTTCCCCTCCGTTCATGACAGTCCATGACAGTTTGTTCCCATGAATCTATCTCAATACTGATGTCGTTTATGTCCCACTTAAATATCTTTAAATCATAACTGGCCTCAACAGCTTCTATCCATCTTTCATGGTGGTAGCAGAGTATAACAGAGACAAAACTGTGTACAAGAAAGAGCTGACTGGGAGCAGGTCATAAGGCAAATGAATTGGATTGAACTGGGTGCCTCAGAGTTATTAAGAGTATTCACTAATGCAAAGCTACCGACACCGACAATGGTACTAACTCACAAAACTAAAACCGTGAACTAGGAATGGAGATCCTTACACAGTTCTCTTTATGTATCATTTCAGCTGAAATTTTACACAGATCTTAATTCTTAGAGTCTCAGGGGGTTTAGCATCAGAGGCATAATGGGGGTAATGCAATTTTTTAATTTCACAAGTGTAAGACATTAAAACAGACCAAACTAATTCAATTGCCGTGCAACATGCACATATTATAAATCAGTGTGACCAGATATTGTTGAGAAATAATTATAGAATATAACTACACTAGAATATTTGCATAAGCAATTAAATATTAATAAATAAACAGACGGTATGTTTATAAAAAAAATCAGTAAAATTAAAAACATTATCTATCTAACTTTAGATAAATCTAAAAAAACCGAATACTTTATTTAATTTTGAGACTTCTAAAGCCGTAAATTATGTTGGCATGCATGTAGAACACTGCTTTGCGGCCATATTGTTTTCAAACAAACACTTAGTAACTCGGGTAACTTCATAAATATACTATATTTTCAGCTTTCAAACCACGTTTCTAAATGAGCACGCCTGATATCAGACACAAAGAACTTAAAAGGAAGTTGAAATTGAATGGTCCGGGTTTTATTACGGGTCAGTGGTAGATTGAAAACCTTCATTAGTCACGCGTTGATTGGGCCATCCGGTTGTAACAAATTAGCGCGTGATGCATTCCCTGGGACACAAAGAGTTAATATAGTAGAAGAGACTGGTGCATCCTCTGTAATATTCCCAAAAACAGCAATGAGTACTCTATAACCATCCTTTATTGTGGAGACTTCATATAATATATATAATTTAGTGAATGTTTCACTAAAAATGTATTTCAGATTTGTGTTTAGCCAATCCATTTCTCTAAAATACTCTTGATCCAACTATCACAACCAATGTTTTTTGAATAACGTACTTTCCTTTTCCATATTTGATGAAACCACAAAATCTGCCCAAGTCGGAGGAAGTGTCCTGCAAAAAAAAGTTTAAAAGAATTTCAAGATGTTGTTTATTCAATTAAGTGAACAGTGTCAGAAGTTTATATTGATTTCCTTAAAAATAGTCAGCTGTTTCCTGCCCCAGATAGTTTATATGTCCTTCACATGTTTCCACGGCCATTCATATTCATGCATCTATACAGATGGCTCTGTGTTGAAGGGCAGATGAAGTGCAGGGGTTGCAAAGCAAAGGCTAATGGATGTCTTCTAGTGCAGCAGAGCCTTGCATATGATATCACAATGTCTAGTTTGAGAATGGAGGTTGGGGCAGTCTCTGCTGCCTTCTGCTGGCTTGAGAATCAGCTGTACACACATGCCGTGATTGTAACTGACTCACAGAGCATGTTGGGAAAGGTGAAAACAGGCATGCTTCGTGCAGAGTTGCAAGCATCACTTAAGCGGTCCAGGGTAGTTAGCATTCTTTGGATATTTTCTTGAGGGTATGCTGGTGTGTTGGGAAATTAGCAGGCAGATAGACTGGCTGGCTCTGCGCCACTTGGTGGTGAACATGTATGACAAGTAAGATATTGTGAGGGCCCTTTGGAAATGGGTGAACAGTGAAGATGGATCATTAAGGTCTGAGGAGAACGGTGCTGCGAGGAATTACCAGGGGATCTGGCCGATTATCAACACTCAGGGAAAGGATGAGACGGATATACAATTAGACGGTTACTGGCACCATTGGAATTGGAACTCTTTGCTTTAAAAATGGGGACTGAGCACTTATGGGAGTGTACCAAGAGCTGTAATTGCAATTTTTAATTCAACATTCAACAATCATATTCATGTGCAACTTTTTGAACTGCATTTCTGACACAAGGATAAAGATGGTATGCTTATATCAATTCTGCAGTGTTGTTTGTCTATCACAAGTGATGAAGACCACATTACATCCAAATATTGATTAAAGACTGTGAGTATGAAGATGAATGTGAATATGAAGATGAATGTGAGTATGAAGATGACTGTGAGTATGAAGATGAATGTGAGTATGAAGATGAATGTGAGTATGAAGATGAATGTGAGTATGAAGATGACTATGAGTATGAAGATGAATGTGAATATGAAGATGAATGGGAGTATGAAGATGACTGTGAGTATGAAGATGAATGTGAGTATGAAGATGACTGTGAGTATGAAGATGACTGTGAGTATGAGGATGAATGTGAGTATGAAGATGACTGTGAGTATGAAGATGAATGTGAGTATGAAGATGAATGTGAGTATGAAGATGAATGTGAGTATGAAGATGACTGTGAGTATGAAGATGAATGTGAGTATGAAGATGAATGTGAGTATGAAGATGAATATGAGTATGAAGATGAATGTGAGTATGAAGATGAATGTGAGTATGAAGATGAATGTGAGTATGAAGATGAATGTGAGTATGAAGATGAATGTGAGTATGAAGATGAATGTGAGTATGAAGATGACTGTGAGTATGAAGATGAATGTGAGTATGAAGATGAATGTGAGTATGAAGATGAATGTGAGTATGAAGATGAATGTGAGTATGAAGATGACTGTGAGTATGAGGATGAATGTGAGTATGAAGATGAATGTGAGTATGAAGATGACTGATGAGTCCAGTCTGAGTGTAGACAGTTCTTGAGCAGTGTGGACAACAAATCGAAGCAACAGTTGAGGTGGGATTTGTCATTCGGTTCTTTCTAGTCTGCCTCCGTCTCTCTCCAAGGGCAACCTCTGCTACCTGGCAGGCTCATGTACTATATTTGAGGCCTGCACACCATCCAGACTGGTCTTGTGCAACAGCCTTCCATGTTTCTGTTTGAATGCCAAATGATTTGAGTCCATTTTTAGAGTATCCTTGTAGCATTTTTTGGGGGGGATCTTTTCCCATGCTGGAGTTCACTATAAAATATTCTCTTTGGGAGTCAATGGTCTAGCAGAATTATGTAATCATGCACCTTACAGGAAGGCCTAGTGATCAATTCCTTTATAGACCAGTAAGTTGAGCTGAGTTCAGAATTGATATCACAGCACTCGGGCATTCCCGTAAGTGCTCTATCCTCATCTTCAGCAGCCAGTGCAGAGTTCCAATACTGATGGTACTGGTCACAATCTGGTTATATGTTTGTCTTGCCTTTCCTCTGAGTGTAGTGAACGGCCAAAATAATCTTGTTTTTCTACTGATTCTGTTGCTTGTTCCCAAAGGGCCTTGACCACATCTGCCTTGTCATGTATCAGTTTCACCACTCAGTGGTGCGGATCACGCCATTATAGACCAATTAGGACTCATTGTAGAATAAGACAGAGTTAGAAATGATTTTATCAGATGGACTGTGGGAACAACAACATGCAGCAAATTCACTGAGAAACAGAAGATCGAATGGTTTGGTTATGTAGTAAGAATACAGCCAGAACAACTACCAGCTCAGGCTACAAGTGAACAGTCTAATGTGAAAGCAAGAGGTGGTCATAGGAAAACATGGATTCATGACATTAAAGAGCTGCCACATCACTAGGAATGACAATGGCCATTGTGACATATCAAGCAGCGGATCACAAACTGATCATCCCCATGGTTCTTATTGGCAGAAGTCAAAACAGATGATGATGACGAAAGGATCAAGTGGTCAACTTTATACAACAATTTATACAAGCCAAGACATATCCTGATATGTGTTTTAGACTGGTCAACCTGGGGCCAAATTCAATTCTTTTGCCAAATCCACCCAGTCTGAATTAAACATAAAACTTTCAAGCTGGTAGGCGAGCAAGTGCTCTAGTCTACTGTGGCTCCTACAGCAAAATGTACCAGACAATAAATTTTTTTTAATAGGACAACATCACTTTGAACAAGAATGTCGGTTAATTCTGACTTACATTGGCATCACAGGGTATTTCCTCAAACAGGTTGCTTGACCTTCTCCGGATAGCATCGTAGTCATAGCTTCCATTAGAAAATGTGATGTTATTATCTGCCAGATTTTCAGCACGGCCAACTGATGCCAGGAATCTGATCTCAGGTCAAGGTCATGATATTCTGTGGCAATTGCCAAACTGGGACTGATAGTTTAAATGATGGAGGTCACATGGGTGTTAATGATGGAGGTCATGAGGGTGTTAATGATGGAGGTCATGAGGGTGTTAATGATGGAGGTAACATGGGTGTTAATGATGGAGGTCATAAGGGTGTTAATGATGGAGGTCATGAGGGTGTTAATGATGGAGGTCATAAGGGTGTTAATGATGGAGGTCATGAGGGTGTTAATGATGGAGGTCATGAGGGTGTTAATGATGGAGGTCACATGGGTGTTAATGATGGAGGTCATGAGGGTGTTAATGATAGAGGTCATGTGGGTGTTAATGATGGAGGTCATAAGGGTGTTAATGATGGAGGTCATGAGGGTGTTAATGATGGAGGTCACATGAGTGTTAATGATGGACGTCATGAGGGTGTTAATGATGGAGGTCATGAGGGTGTTAATGATGGAGGTCATGAGGGTGTTAATGATGGAGGTCACATGGGTGTTAATGATGGAGGTCACATGGGTGTTAATGATGGACGTCATAAGGGTGTTAATGATGGACGTCATAAGGGTGTTAATGATGGACGTCATAAGGGTGTTAATGATGGACGTCATAAGGGTGTTAATGATGGAGGTCATAAGGGTGTTAATGATGGACGTCATAAGGGTGTTAATGATGGACGTCATAAGGGTGTTAATGATGGACGTCATAAGGGTGTTAATGATGGACGTCATAAGGGTGTTAATGATGGACGTCATAAGGGTGTTAATGATGGACGTCATAAGGGTGTTAATGATGGACGTCATAAGGGTGTTAATGATGGACGTCATAAGGGTGTTAATGATGGAGGTCATGAGGGTGTTAATGATGGAGGTCATGAGATTGTTAATGATGGAGGTCACATGGGTGTTAATGATGGAGGTCACATGGGTGTTAATGATGGAGGTCATAAGGGTGTTAATGATGGAGGTCATGAGGGTGTTAATGATGGAGATCACGAGGGTGTTAATGATGGAGGTCACATGGGTGGTAATGATGGAGGTCATGAGGGTGTTAATGATGGAGGTCATAAGGGTGTTAATGATGGAGGTCATGAGGGTGTTAATGATGGAGGTAACATGGGTGTTAATGATGGAGGTCATAAGGGTGTTAATGATGGAGGTCATGAGGGTGTTAATGATGGAGGTAACATGGGTGTTAATGATGGAGGTCATGAGGGTGTTAATGATGGAGGTAACATGGGTGTTAATGATGGAGGTAACATTGGTGTTAATGATGGAGGTCATGAGGGTGTTAATGATGGAGGTCACATGGGTGTTAATGATGGAGGTCACATGGGTGTTAATGATGGAGGTCACGAGGGTGTTAATGATGGAGGTCACATGGGTGGTAATGATGGAGGTCATGAGGGTGTTAATGATGGAGGTCACGAGGGTGTTAATGATGGAGGTCACGAGGGTGTTAATGATGGAGGTCACATGGGTGGTAATGATGGAGGTCATGAGGGTGTTAATGATGGAGGTCATAAGGGTGTTAATGATGGAGGTCATGAGGGTGTTAATGATGGAGGTCACGAGGGTGTTAATGATGGAGGTCACATGGGTGGTAATGATGGAGGTCATGAGGGTGTTAATGATGGAGGTCACGAGGGTGTTAATGATGGAGGTCACATGGGTGGTAATGATGGAGGTCATGAGGGTGTTAATGATGGAGGTCATGAGGGTGTTAATGATGGAGGTCATAAGGGTGTTAATGATGGAGGTAACGAGGGTGTTAATGATGGAGGTCACATGGGTGGTAATGATGGAGGTCATGAGGGTGTTAATGATGGAGGTCATAAGGGTGTTAATGATGGAGGTCATGAGGGTGTTAATGATGGAGGTAATATGGGTGTTAATGATGGAGGTCATGAGGGTGTTAATGATGGAGGTCACATGGGTGTTAATGATGGAGGTCATGAGGGTGTTAATGATGGAGGTAACATGGGTGTTAATGATGGAGGTCATGAGGGTGTTAATGATGGAGGTCATGAGGGTGTTAATGATGGAGGTCATGAGGGTGTTAATGATGGAGGTCATGAGGGTGTTAATGATGGAGGTCACATGAGTGTTAATGATGGAGGTCATGAGGGTGTTAATGATGGAGGTCATGAGGGGGTTGATGATGGAGGTCACATGAGTGTTAATGATGGAGGTCATGAGGGTGTTAATGATGGAGGTCATGAGGGTGTTAATGATGGAGGTCATGAGGGTGTTAATGATGGAGGTCACATGAGTGTTAATGATGGAGGTCATGTGGGTGTTAATGATGGAGGTCATGAGGGTGTTAATGATGGAGGTCATGAGGGGGTTGATGATAGAGGTAACATGGGTGTTAATGATGGAGGTCACATGAGTGTTAATGATGGAGGTCATAAGGGTGTTAATGATGGACTTCATGAGGGTGTTAATGATGGAGGTCATAAGGGTGTTAATGATGGAGGTCATAAGGGTGTTAATGATGGAGGTCATAAGGGTGTTAATGATGGAGGTCATGAGGGTGTTAATGATGGAGGTCACATGAGTGTTAATGATGGACATCATGAGGGTGTTAATGATGGAGGTAACATGGGTGTTAATGATGGAGGTCTTGAGGGTGTTAATGATGGAGGTAACATGGGTGGTAATGATGGAGGTCACATGGGTGTTAATGATGGACGTCATGAGGGTGTTAATGATGGAGGTCATGAGGGTGTTAATGATGGAGGTCATGAGGGTGTTAATGATGGAGGTCATGAGGGTTTTAATGATGGAGGTCATGAGGGTGTTAATGATGGAGGTCATGAGGGTGTTAATGATGGAGGTCACATGAGTGTTAATGATGGAGGTCATGAGGGTGTTAATGATGGAGGTCACATGGGTGTTAATGATGGAGGTCACATGAGTGTTAATGATGGAGGTCATGAGGGTGTTAATGATGGAGGTCATGAGGGTGTTAATGATGGAGGTCATGAGGGTGTTAATGATGGAGGTCATGAGGGTGTTAATGATGGAGGTCATGAGGGTGTTAATGATAGAGGTCATGTGGGTGTTAATGATGGAGGTCATGAGGGTGTTAATGATGGAGGTCATGAGGGTGTTAATGATGGAGGTCATGAGGGTGTTAATGATGGAGGTCATAAGGGTGTTAATGATGGAGGTCATGAGGGTGTTAATGATGGAGGTCACATGAGTGTTAATGATGGAGGTCATGAGGGTGTTAATGATGGAGGTCATGAGGGGGTTGATGATGGAGGTAACATGGGTGTTAATGATGGAGGTCACATGAGTGTTAATGATGGACGTCATGAGGGTGTTAATGATGGAGGTCATAAGGGTGTTAATGATGGAGGTCATGAGAGTGTTAATGATGGAGGTCATGAGGGTGTTAATGATGGAGGTCATGAGGGTGTTAATGATGGAGGTCATGAGGTTGTTAACTCTTTCAGTTCCAAACAATGTATGATGTGTGATTGACTTTTCTGTGAATCCTAACTAACATTGAATTTGTTCTTGTAAAGTACACATTTGATCAGAACGTACTAAAGAAATCTGGCTTCCTTAGAATTTAACTTATTTGAAAAAATACGCTCATGGACTTTTTAGTGGTAATGTCTACATATGTGCGCCTCATGCGTGATGATGATGTTTATCAATGCTAGAACCAAACTGACCATAAAATCATAATTCTGGCACTGCTGGGGATCCAACCCAGACCACTGTCTTGCCAGCTAAGTGACCACTATGCCTTGCTTTGTGGAAAAATGTGCACATTACGAACATCTCAGGCAGTAGTCTATGCAAAGAATGCACAAATGCAACCAATCTGTGCAACCAAAGTCTTTATCAACATAAGTGAACTGAAATATGGAATATAAGCAACACGGAAACTAAAACAACTCAACAGATGGTGACGCATGAATAGATAGGGCAGGCAGAATCAATCTGAACATGTAAAGTGATGAGGTAATGGGGGCGAGCGAGTGATGTGTGAACGCCGTCAAGCTAAATACATCATAAAATGTGACTAGAAAGCTCAAGAGAGTGAAGGGAAAAGACACACACAACCGATGCAGTCTAATTTTTTTTTTTTTTTTCAATGTCTGACCAAGGATATGTGGCAATACTTCCCCACAAGCCAATCACACCAAGTTGTAGGATGAAAGGAATCAAAGGCCATAGCAACGTAGACCACATAGCACCAACAGCTCTGTAAACACAAAACATATTTTTTTTAGATGTTTTCAGTAAATAAATTGTATAAAGTGCATCACCTGCCTCTGTGTTCTGTTCAGCCTCTCCATTTGCTTATGGCTGAGAGTCTGAAATATCATAGCATACAAAAACACAAAGGCTTTCTTGACTGACTGTCAGCACCGTGAGCTGCAATTCTGGTGTGGGACTGTTAGTGTTGGCACATCTCGCAGCTGCCTTATGCATTTTTACTTTGTGTGTGCCAGCTTCAAGATTTTGCTGAGACTGGTAGTTTTTCAGTAGTTTTCAAATGTAACAGTAAAGAATATTTGTGTGATTTCAACTGGCAAAGATTGGAACAGTTATGGGTATGACCCATCTGCAATGATTTGGAATATTAACTAATTAACCTACTAAAATACGGAACAAACACATCTAAGAATAGGAGAGAGAAGGGACATCATTAAGTTTGCCATTGCCATCACATCCATGCCTCCCATGGCTTTTATTATTTCCTGGTCTACATCCTTAGTATAAGCAAGACTGATCAAATTGCATCCCTATGTTTTTAAATGCATGAGTCTTTTCCATCACCTTATTACCATCGGAGACCAGGTGCCCATGGCCCCCCTGTAGATAACTTTGTCACCAGTCAGAACAGTATTTAGATTTTTTCCCCTGCAAAGCACCCACCTACCATAACCTTATAGCAACAAACTTAAACTGGCGCTGGAGTGTTGACAAAGTGATTATTCAAAGAGACCATCTCAGTACCGCCTTCTTTGGATTGATAAGCACAGCACCATCTACATGTGCTTTTAATTTAACTTACTTAATCAATCCTCTTCTACTTGGGGTGTAGAGGATTTGCCAGAGAGATTGCCAGGGGTGTAGAGGGTTTGCCAGAGAGATTGCTAGAGGTGTAGAGGGTTTGCCAGAAAGATTGCCTGAGGTGTAGAGGGTTTGCCAGAGAGATTGCCAGGGGTGTAGAGGGTTTGCCAGAGAGATTGCTAGAGGTGTAGAGGGTTTGCCAGAGAGATTGCCAGAGATGTAGAGAGTTCATCAGAGAGATTGCCAGGAGTGTAGAGGGTTTGTCAGAGAGGTTTGAGGGGTGTAGATGGTTTTGCCAGAGAGATTGCCAGGGGTGTAGAGGGTTTGCCAGAGAGATTGCCAGAGGTGTAGAGGGTTTTCCAGAGGTGTAGAAGGTTTGCTACAGAGATTGCCAGAGGTGTAGAAGTTTTGCTAGAGAGATTGCCAGAGGTGTAGAGGGTTTGCCAGAGGTGTAGAGGGTTTGCCATAGAGATTGCCAGAGGTGTAGAAGGTTTGCTAGAGAGATTGCCAGAGGTGTAGAGGGTTTGCAAGAAAGATTGCAAGGGGTGTAGAGGGTTTGCTAGAGAGATTGCCAGGGGTGTAGAGGGTTTGCCAGAGGTATAGAGGGTTTGCCAGAGAGATTGCCAGAGGTGTAGAAGGTTTGCTAGAGAGATTACCAGAGATGCAGAGGGTTTGCAAGAAAGATTGCAAGGGGTGTAGAGGGTTTGCTAGAGAGATTGCCAGGGGTGTAGAGGGTTTGCCAGAGGTATAGAGGGTTTGCCAGAGAGATTGCCAGAGGTGTAGAAGGTTTGCTAGAGAGATTGCCAGAGGTGCAGAGGGTTTGCAAGAAAGATTGCAAGGGGTGTAGAGGGTTTGCTAAAGAGATTGCCAGGGGTGTAGAGGGTTTGCCAGAGGTATGGAGGGTTTGCCAGAGAGATTGCCAGAGGTTAGAATGTTTGCTAGAGAGATTGCCAGAGGTGTAGAGGGTTTGCCAGAGAGATTGCAAGGGGTGTAAGTGTTTGCTAGAGAGATTGCCAGAGGTGTAGATGGTTTGTCAGAGAGATTGACAGGGGTGTAGAGGGTTTGCCAGAGAGATTGCCAGAGGTGTAGAAATTTTGCTAGAGAGATTGCCAGAGGTGTAGATGATTTGCCAGAGGTGTAGAGGGTTTGCCAGAGAGAATGTCAGAGATGTAGAAGGTTTGCTAGAGAGATTGCCAGAGGTGTAGAGGGTTTGCCAGAGGTGTAGAGGATTTGCCAGAGAGATTGCCAGATGTGTAGAGGGTTTGCCAGAGAGATTGCCAGGGGTGTAGAGGGTTTGTCAGACAGATTGCCAGGGGTGTAGAGGGTTTGCCAGAGGTGTAGAGGGTTTGCCAGAGAGATTGCCAGGGGTATAGAGGGTTTGTCAGAGAGACTGCAAGGGGTGTAGAGGGTTTGCCAGAGGTGTAGAGGGCTTGCAAGAGAAATTGCCAGAGATGTGGCGGGTTTGTCAGAGAGATTGCAAGGGGTGTAGAGGGTTTGCCCTAGAGATTGCCAGGGGTGTAGAGGGTTTGCTAGAGAGATTGCCAGAGGTGTATAAGTTTTGCTAGAGAGATTGCCAGAGGTGTAGAGGGTTTGCCAGAGGTGTAGAGGGCTTGCCAGAGAAATCGCCAGAGATGTAGAGGGTTCGTCAGAGAGATTGCAAGGGGTGAGGAGGGTTTGCCAGAGAGGTCTCAAGGGGTGTAGATGGTGTGCCAGAGAGATTGCCAGGGGTGTAGATGGTGTGCAAAAGAGATTGCCAGGGGTGTAGAAGTTTTGCCAGAGAGATTGCCAGGGGTGTAGAGGGATTGCCAGAGAGATTGCCAGAGGTGTAGAGGGATTGCCAGAGAGATTGCCAGAGGTGTAGAGGGATTGCCAGAGAGATTGCCAGGGGTGTAGAGGGATTGCCAGAGAGATTGCCAGGGGTGTAGAGGGATTGCCAGAGAGATTGCCAGGGGTGTAGAGGGATTGCCAGAGAGATTGCCAGGGGTGTAGAGGGATTGCCAGAGAGATTGCCAGGGGTGTAGAGGGTTTGCCAGAGGTGTAGAAGGTTTGCTAGAGAGTTTGCCAGAGGTGTAGAGGGTTTGCTAGAGGTGTAAAGGGTTTGCCAGAGATATTGACAGATTTCTCTGTCAGCAGTTTTCTATTTGGTTTGGTTCTATTTCAGTCCTCTGCCAGTCAGGGACAGTTGGATGTCTTCTTCCCCCCGAACAATGGGTCGTTCTGGAGGTCTAGTTGCCTGGTTCTTGGCCTCCAACAGTGGCCAATTCTCCAAACCATCATAATTGTGACTGATCTACTCACATTTGTAAGACCTGGGTTTCAAGATCATGATGTATTGTCTGGTTGTGAATTTTATTGTCACTTGACCACCTTTCTCAGATATCTTATTTCTGAGGCCTGAAGCTGGCCTCTGACAGCTTTATCAGTGAACATGACTACAACTCACAGATCAGGAAAGAAGATGAACTGGTCTGCAACAGTACATGGCCAGAACTATATACCCAGTCAAAGGGATCCTAAAATAAATCAACTGGCACCTGCTTCCTTGCTTGATGATAGCCACGGCAATGATGATCCGGTGACACAAGAACAGCAGGATAAGCAGGACAATGGTCAGGATCACTCCAAAGATGATACCTGTTGATTGATAACATGTGGTGTTAAAGCAACAGAGAAAGATGAAGTTGTGCTAACTAAACTACTGTGCTGAGTGAATGAATGAAGTAATGAGTCATGAATTAACAGCACTGAACTCAGGGTATTTCTACATCTGCTCCTTCCCCTTCTTCTTCCAATGAAGCATCGACTTGCTAACAGTACTAGCTGTAACCTGATCAAAAAAGCTGCTATGTTCCCCCTCAGTGTTGAATATCTATCAGAACCTCTACACACAACCTGATGAATTAGTCTTTCAATGTATTATCTGTTGCACTGCACATTTGATTCCTGAAAGCCTTCATTACATTCGATTTATCGTAAAGCAGCTCACCGCCAGAGGAGTGGCCACAGCTAATCTATCAGCCTGCCCGTTACCTAGGACACTTGAATGAAAATCCTGGGCATAGATATGCTCCTGATCTGAGTCTTATCAATTGATGCCAGCCACTTTACATGTAGTATGACAGTTTAACTTTGTTGTAGCATGCTCCAGTACGTTATAATTACAACATGTCAGGCTGTACTGCTCTCAAGGGATCAGAAAGCTGCTATTACTGCCTCCACCTCCATTCTCATGCTAGATGTAGTGATATTGTACCAGCAACAATTCACATGATGATGATGATGATGATGATAATGATGATGATAATAGCTGAAGGTAAATGACAACTTACCAGCAACAATTCACATGATGATGATGAGGATGATAATGATGATGAGAATGATAATGATGATGAGGATGATAATGATGACAGTAGCTGAAAGTAGATGACAACTCATCAGCAACAATTCACATGATGATGATGATGATGATGATAATGATGACAGTAGCTGAAGGTAGATGACAACTTACCAGCAACAATTCACATGATGATAAAAGCAATTGCTGAAGGTAGATGATGATGATGATGATGATGACTGTAGATGAAGGTAGACTGACAACTTACCAGCAGCAAGGAACAGCTTCTCCTTTTCAAATGTTAGCCTCCAAACCAAGTAGAAAGTCAATGTTTCATTTTTGCCTTTGGCCTGAGTATACAAGTACCAGCTGGCAACTGTCACTGCAACACGAAAGACACTAACTCATCAGTTGTATCATAGCTCAAACAATATCTTATTTACAGTACCTTAAACAACAGATTTTCGGGAAGTTTCCAAAACAAAGTGGTTAGGCCATTTGCCTCCAGCTCTGAAGATTTTGGTTTCAATCTTTGGATGTTGTTGGGTCATAAGAGCAGGTTTTATAGAACTCTTCATTTACCCTACCACTTATGCTGCAAAGAGTCATAAAGAGGTTACATGGGTCACACTCTAGCTGGTAGCTTATTTTGTTCAATTATAACCAGATAACCAAACCATTTGATTCTTTGATGTTCTATGAAATCATTTACTGGTACTGTGCCTACCACTTGGTTCTTTGTTGGTGACTCTATCTATCTCTTCTAGATTGTCCTGTTGCGTTTCTTTTACATCTTTTCTCTCATGTCGTAATTTTGCGCTATTTGTTTTTAGGACTGTTCATGTCTGACACTGATAGTACAAAGTTATCATGTATAGCACATTTATCATCTGCTTTGTACTTTAGAACAGTATTTACTATTCTTCTTTGGCTACCTGTATAGTGTTTATGCTTGGTGACAGCTCTTTTGACCTGAAGTTCTTGTTCTAATCTTTTGAGTGTTGCTGACTCTTCGTCTTCTCCTGAATCATCCTCTTGTTCTACCATCTTGAGAGCATTGAGAATGTCGACCCACTTCACTGCTTTTTCTGTATCTACCATGGCCATGCCAGCAAGCCAGTCGGCTCATTCATAACCTCCTACCCCAGAGTGTCCTGGCACAAAAATGAAATAATTCCTATCAGATGAGATTTTCTCAGTGACTCCAATCACTTTCTTCAAAACCTTCCTGTTTCTATCTTCTTAAGCATGTAAAGGGAATCACTTGAAATCATGAATGGGAAAAATGATGTGTGTATATATTAATACAAGTTGACAACACCCCACCCCCTTTTTTACCCCCCCCCCCCCCCCCTATCCACAGTGTTACTTCTTCTTCTTCGCGTTCACCAGCTGTACACTCTGGTGGAAAGTTCTGGTTGTTCGTCCACTTCTGAACTACAGTCCTGCTCCAGAACCCGAGTGTTGTGTGTGCATCAGTTTTACAGATCTGATTCACTTAAATGCAGACTGCTGGTACCTTGCCTCTCAGGCAGATGCACTCCGACTTTATAGAAAGCTCCCCAATTAGTCAAATCTTGCGACATGCATTTGGGTAGGCAGAGGGTCTTTTCTTGTTTTCCCCACGATGGGGCCCCGGAACCCACATGTTACTTAATAAACATCTTCTGGTACCCCAATAGAACTGTGCTATTTGGCTACAAGGTCAAATAGGGTTTCCAAGATTTGTGCTATCCTTGAGGGGGAAAATTGAAAAAAAAAAAACACACACACACACAAAAACAAAAAAGGAGAATTAAGGTGGTGAATCTTAATGAAGACAAATGCAAGAAACACATTGATAGTCTTCAGACTACAAAACATTCCTTCAAACATGATGTTACACAGTTGTAGTTTTATGCTGTTGAACCTCTGCATTAATATAGCAAGTTCCCTTCGATGACTACATTAGAAAAGTGCCTGAAAGTGTCCATTTTCTGATGCAAAGTTAATGCTACTGGCAGAGTTTGTGCCTGCACAAGCGTTTAGGAGGTCGGGATATGAATATATGAACTAACAGTAACATTCAGGAGGCTGAGTGGTCTAGAGGCATGGTGTCCGCCTTGAGTGCTGGTGGTCCCGGGATCAAGCCCCAATTTCTTCTTCTTCTTCTTCTAATGCAGCATTCTGAGCCCATGAGGTTCATTGCTGCAGATCAACTACATGCATTCATCTCTCTGGCTGGCCTTCTCTTTCCAGCTGGTGACACCAAGTGTTTGTAGGTCTGTCTGGATATTATCTCTCCATCGTCTTCTTGGTCTGGACTATGGGCTACAACCATTCAGCTTCCTTTTATACATCTGTATATATATATATATATATGCATTTGAGAAAAGCTTGTAGATAAATACATTTTTAACAAATTTAATAGTGGCCCGGGTATGGATTTTTCTGGAATTCTAAAGGGGTTCATGAATGTTTTTATTTATTTTCTTATATTCATTTGTTTTCATTAAAAAGTTTGGTTTTACCATAGCAACCAAAGTAAAATATGAAATAAAAGATAGCAGCACAAACTTACAGCATAACCAAATGGCAACAAAAGCCAGGATGGTGAGCCAGACCATGAGGCCAGAAAGCCAGCGCATCAGAGTTATCCAGATTAAGGAGAGTGTCATGGCAATAATTAGCCCACTGGAAAAAAAAAATGAAACAATTAATATTTAAATTAACAGGCTGCAAAAATGTGCTTACATATAAACTGTACAATCTGATCTGCCCAAGTTCTAACAAATTGCAATAAAGATTAAAGCAATATATACTATAAAGATTTTGATATTTCAGCTATATTTAAATTTATTTTTATGTAAACAATAAATACATGCATTATATTAGTGTTGCCTTGTCTGTGTATTTCATCATAGAGGGATAAAACAGGAGGAGGAGGAGCAGCAGCAGGAGATGAAGAAGGAAGGAACTAGAGGAGCAGCAGGAGATGAAGAAGGAAGGAACTAGAGGAGCAGCAGGAGATGAAGAAGGAAGGAACTAGAGGAGCAGCAGGAGATGAAGAAGGAAGGAACTAGAGGAGCAGCAGGAGATGAAGAAGGAAGGAACTAGAGGAGCAGCAGGAGATGAAGAAGGAAGGAACTAGAGGAGCAGCAGGAGATGAAGAAGGAAGGAACTAGAGGAGCAGCAGGAGATGAAGAAGGAAGGAACTAGAGGAGCAGCAGGAGATGAAGAAGGAAGGAACTAGAGGAGCAGCAGGAGATGAAGAAGGAAGGAACTAGAGGAGCAGCAGGATGATGAAAAGGAAGAAGAAATTAACACAAAGCCAAGGGCGATGATTAAGAATATGAAAAAGAGAAAGAAGAGGAGGAAGAAGAGAAGAAAGTGGAGGCAGAGAAGGATGAACAGGAAAAGAAGAAAGAGATATAGATAAAGATGATGAAGATCACAAAGACAACAACTATGAAATGCCTGTGACTGGTGCCACCGAAGAAAAAGAAGACAAAGAAGAAGAAGAAGTCACAAAATATGGTGAAGTAACTAATCTTATCCTGATTCACCCAGTTTTTGTTGTTTTTGAACCCCACCGTGGCTGTTGCCAGGGGCCCTAATATAACCCAACCCATGGGTTGAACAGGGTTTCTGGGACCTCTCCCTGGTTGATCCTCTGCATGGTAGCACTATGTGTCCTCTGGTGTTTGTTGCTTGATGGATGTCCTTGTGGGGGTGAATCTTCTCACTCACACCCAGTGAAGGTAAAAGTTGAATTTACCTTCCAGGGGATTACCTCTGTGTTTCTATCTGACAGGGAAGATTAACCTGGTCAATGAATGTCTGCAGAAGTCGGATGTGGTGGTTGAAAGGTGCAATATCGCAGCCATGCTGTAACTGCGCACAACACTGAGCCTTCAGGTACTCTGAGTTGTCATTAAACAGAGCCTGGTTCAAATCCTCTATAAGGGGATGCATTTTTGCCAGCGCCATGGGCTGTGATGCCTCCTCATAGGGCAATTTAAAACAATTGTCTTGAAAGATGGAAAGTTGCCAAACAAATTAAATCTTGTGATAAGCACAGAAGAACAAGAAGTTTGTATTCTGGGCTGTTCTTCTCTAAAACTATATGATAATTATTCGTTTAAGGAAAACACACATGCATGTCTTCTATCTAAGTGTACTTACATTAGGATCATCCACCAACAAACCACTACATCAGCAATAATCTTCTCTCCAAATTCTTTAGCATGAAGAAATTGCTCATATATTCTGAAGAAAACAATTACATGAACCGACTTTAATGTAGTATGCATGTGCCCTAGAATGGGGTGCATTCTGAAGTTTAATTACTGACAGTATTAGAAAAGCCATATGAAATATTTTTCACAGAGGGGGATAATTTCAGCAGACAATTAACACTTTAAAAAAAAAAACTTTTCTATATAAATTTACCAACTCTGACAGACAGACACACACATCACAAACACACACACAGACACACACACGGACTCAAACACAGACTCAAACACAGACACAAATATACAAGCACTTGTAAATACACCGCATACATATATATCGTTGCATGCACTTTCACTCATACATACACTCACAAATATACCCAAACATACACAAACACCTAAACATACACAAACAACCATACCTACACAACACCCCAAATGTAAACAAATACTTGTACTCACAATAATGTCCATACATACATAAACACCCATACATACACATACACGTATGGTCATCTATGCATATTCTTACTCATACATAACCATTCCTTCACAACCACACATACACACACTCTCACACACTATACATACATATTAAATGCATATAATCACTTGAAAGCATTAATTGAAAATATTTGCAGCTAAATGAATAGGAACTCTTTGTATTTTTTAATTGAGTGGAAGATGGTTCCATAAATGAGCAGCAGAATATGCTTAACTTGTTGAAGATAAATCTATTCTAGGTTCAGGCAAGTGTAATAAACATAGTCACTTGCTGTTTGTAGGAGTTTATTAAATCAACCGGAAAAGTAACGTGGAGTATTTTGAGATAGAATTTCATAAATAAATTTATTGTTGTCAAAAATTAAATGTTTACTAAATAGCATATTGTCTCAGAAAATGAAATATTTTGGCCATAATAAGCATCATGGTGGGTTGGAAAAAATAATAGCAGAAGTTATTGTACCAAGAAAGAGGGCAGGGGCTGACCAGAAAGCAGATGGGCACAGGATATAAGTGACACCTTGGGTAGGAAAGTTCATGTGGCAGGAGGGTTGGTGAGAGATTGAGTTCCTTTAATGCAGACCATGATGACAGTGACATTCTGCAAAGGATCTGCTACATGATGATGATATTATTAACTCCATACAGATAGGAAAAAAATATGGGCAACAGGTAGACAATGACACAAGTGGGAATAAGAGATGGATAGAAAGCAGAATGTTAGACACACCGCTGGAGATTCATTTGTACTGAATAGCTTTGATTGTGTACACAACACTTGTTTCAGTGAATTAATTTAAACAAAAAGTACTGCAGAAGCTTATGATTGAACCAAACAAACTACAAATACTGACACTAATCCAGCTTCAAAAGCAGCACTTTCAACAGTTTTGTTGCTTCCATCTGTGACGTTGTACACCTCACCAGAACTGTTGACGGTGAGGAACTTATTGGCCAGATCCAGCAGTCTTGATATTGGCAAGCATCGGTTGATAACTGAGGAGAAACATTGTCAGTACCGAATAGTTAGTAACTAGTTAGTTAGTTGCCTATTCTTTACAGGACGTTGCAGTTCCAACCCCAGTATTTTTTTTACTGTTGTGGTTTTTCTAGGCAAATAAACGTCCAGTAGTTTGCCATTGCTTTCTGGACGGTCGGCTTCTCTATACCACTGTTGAAACCAACAAAAACCACAAGACCCACAGCTGGAATCGGACTTGGCACCCCGGCATTACGAAGCGCCTAAGCCACAGACGCCGACCAGGACAAAACTACTGAACAGAAAATATATGTTATTCTTTTTTGTTCACATTCACAGGCTGTAAAATCTGGAGGAAAATTCTGATTGTCTGACCTCTTTTAGACTTTGCTCTTGTTCCAGAGGTGAGTTTTGATGTGTATTGGTTTCACAAATGTGGCTTAGTTGTATGCAGACTGCTGGTTTTTCGCCTCTCAGGCAGATGCATTTCGACTTCAAAAGAAATTAAACGAATTAGCCGCCTCTTATGGCATGCTTTTTTTAGAAGCAGTGGATCTATTTTGTTTACTCCCAGAATAGGGCTTTGGAACCCACTTAAAAAAGAACATTGATCAAATGAACAAATTCTGAAAAATTATGAGGGGAAAATAGACAATTATAGAATGCATAAACAATCAGGTTTGCATCAGTGTTGAGATAGATAGTTGTGTTGCTACAAGACATTGGCTCCGAGGTCAGTGAAGCCTAGCCCGTCTCTCTAGCGTAGTTGGCTAAACCAGATTGCGCGGTGAGCGGGTGATGAACTCCTTGTGGTCCGGGTTCGCTCCTGGGGGTGGGCAGAAAAGCCACATTTCTCCCAGATTTACAGTATTTAAAATGGAATCAAGGCGGAAAGGTTGCCATATCCATAATACCGAGCCTAGGGGTTAACAACTAATGGCTTCTGGATCCTAAAAGAAACAAACAGTGAAGCCTAAAATGGATACCAGCAAATCTCATGGGAAGTAAAGGCAGTCAACATGATGTTGAGCACATCCTCATCATGTGCCAGTGGGTCTGTCAAAAATATGAATCCAGCACCATATGGTCCATGGCCCACAGATTGTGAAACGTTTCTAGACAAAGTTATAAATCCTTTATAGGACATCATAAGCCAATTCAAGAATTTGTTGGCTGTTTGTGGTAGGTAATTTTTTACATTTGAACAGAGAAGATGCAAACAATATATTGCACAATTTATTGCCTGGCATATTTCGCTGTATCTCGTCATGTGCATACTACAGAAACAATTACATAAATCAAGCAGATAAGTGAATCCTTTATAAATGAAGTACAAATTCAACAACAATCAAACATGGCTGCCTGTTTTACCAGGGTAGCCAGTAGTGTCAGAATCATGTCTTTTTGTATGCAAAGCTCAGCGGGCAGATAACGATTCGCAGCAGCTTCAAGAAATGTTAGCGTTCTGCCATTGACTGACGTGTGAAAGATTTGAAATGTGTTGTCGTTATAAAGGCTTCACTTATTTGCTTCATTTATGCATTTGTTACTGTTAATCTATTATTATTTGTCTTCTCTGTTCACATTTACAATAGGGAAACACTTCTTTAATTTTTACATTTTGTTTTAAATTGAAACCATTCATTGCATTATTTTGTTTGTGGGTGTTTTTTAACCAGGCAATTGTATGTTCAGTGGTTTTGACTGGGCAATTGTATGTTCAGTGGTTTTAACCAGGCAATTGTATGTTCAGGGTTTTTTGACTAGGCAATTGTATGTTCAGTGGTTTTTGACTAGGCAATTGTATGTTCAGGGTTTTTTGACTAGGCAATTGTATGTTCAGTGGTTTTGACTAGGCAATTGTATGTTCAGTGGTTTTGGCTAGGCAATTATATGTTCAGTGGTTTTGACTAGGCAATTATATGATCAGTGGTTTTGACTAGGCAATTATATATTTAGTGGTTTTGACTAGGCAATTATATGTTCAGTGGTTTTGGCTAGGCAATTGTATGTTTGGTGGTTTTTGACTAGGCAATTATATATTCAGTGGTTTTGACTAGGCAATTATATGTTCAGTGGTTTTGACTAGGCAATTATATGATCAGTGGTTTTGACTAGGCAATTATATGTTCAGTGGTTTTGACCAGGCAATTATATGTTCAGTGGTTTTGACTAGGCAATTGTATGTTCAGTGGTTTTGACTAGGCAATTGTATGTTCAGTGGTTTTGACTTGGTAATTGTATGTTCAGGTTTTTTTACTAGGCAATTGTATGTTCAGTGGTTTTGACTAGGTAATTGTACGTTCGGGGGTTTTTGACTAGGCAATTGTACGTTCAGGGGTTTTTGACTAGGCAGTTGTATATTCTGTGGTTTTCATTAGGCAATTGTATGTTCAACGGTTTTGACAAACAAGAAACAGGATAATTACTTGCTTCACTTTTGAAGTAATATGCTGCACAGTCGCCGTCTACCACTAGTTGTTCCACCCTCTGGGAAAGAGAACAGAATCATTTATCAGTGTGAACACATTTCAATCATATACTTTATACAAAACTATGTTTCTCATTGAGAATTTCAAAAATGCAGACACAAGCAATCATCAACATTATAATGGTGGACAAAAAATGAATCTTTTTGACTGCAATGCATTAACCACGATGGCTCTAGCCCTTCCCCTCTTGCTGCTGCTGCTGGTTTTTCTTCTTCTCTTCCTCCTCCTTTTCCTCCTTCTTCTTCTTCTTCTTCTTCTTCTTCTTCTTCTTCTTCTTCTTCTTCTTCTTCTTCTTCTTCTTCTTCTTCTTCTTCTTCTTCTTTTTCTTCTTCGTTGTCTTCTTCTTCATCTTCTTCTTCTGTCCTACTGCTTATGCTGAGAAAACATCACAGAGAGGAGTTATATATAGTTTCCTGTGTCAGTCAGTCAGTAGCATGTCCTTTGCAGAACCATGCTCCCATAACAACCCTCTGAAATACTTCTCGATCATAAACAAGATGTCCTGCATCCCATACACGCATTTGGAGATCATCCACCACATCCTGCACCCATCTTCTCTTTGGCCTTCCTCTTCCTTTCTTCCCGGGCATATACCCCTCCATTATTGTTCTTTCCAAACTTTTGTGATGTTCCAAGTGACAAAAATATTTTAAGTTTCTGTTTTTTTATAGTCTTTAATGTTTCTTGTGTAGCTTGTATTAATAACATACTGTGTTTCTATAACATATCTTTTACTCCCTTCACCCATCTCTTTCTTGGTCAGCCTCTTGCCTTGTAGTTTCTATTCTCATGTATTACACTCTGGCTGCTGGCTGATTTTGACCCATTATGACCAGATGCCCAAACTGTTTGATTCTTTGATGTTCTTTGAACCAAATTTCTTATACATTTCATTTCACATATTGTAAATTAGCGTTTATGTTTTTCTAGGACTGTCCCTGCCTAGCCCTGACAGCACATTGATCAAACTGCATTTTTAGTGTCTCTAGTTACAGTTTGTTTTGTGTACTTTAGTTGGAAAGATACTTTTGCTCACTTCATTATAGGCTAATGTAATTCTGCAGTGCTGCACTGAATGAAATACAGCAACAACATGCCAAGTAATAAATTATGCAATGCATTTTTTTGTCACCACATTAAGTAAAATATTTAACACAGGTAACAATAAAATCCAGGAAAAATAATTGTCTGTTGGTTTCATTTCATCGCTTGGTTTGCACCTGAAGAATATGTTTCTGATAAAGTGAAGACACCTGGGATCTTCTTCTACAGCATTCCGAGCCTTTGAGGTTCATTGCTGCAGATATTACCCACCTCCATGCATCTCTCTTGTTGGCCTTCTCTTTCTAGTTGGTAACATCAAGTGTTTGCAGGTCTCACTGGACATTATCTCTCCATCGTCTTCTTGGTCTGCCTCATGGTCTATGACCATTCAGCTCCCTTGTGTACCAAGATTTTACCTCTTTGTCATCTGACATTCTTTCAGTATGCCCTAGGGATTTCAGTCTATAAGCTCTCATGATGCCAGTGATCAGTGGTGATTTAAACAGATTATGAATTTCATTGTTGCTTCTCATCTTCCATTCTCCACTTTTTGCATTTTTGATTGGTCCAAAGATTCATCATAAGACTCTGTTTTTGAAAATTTGTAACAAGCCTTTTGTGTCTCTTTTAGTTGTGCTCCATGTTTCAGAATCACATAAAACGACTGGTCTTATCAATGTTTTATATATTTTGATCTTGGTATTGATTTTCATATCATCAACTTGTATGTGGCCAGAGTTTATATCCTTTCTATGTCTTATTATCATGTATTCTCTCTTATCTTGATTGATAACTAGTCCCATTTTGTTAGTTTCTTCATTTAAGAAAGGCAGTCTTTTTACATTCTCTTTTTAATTTTCTCCAATTATATCAATGTCATCTGCATAACCAAGTATTCTTGTAGTTTCTCCTACAGTACTCTCTTGTTTCAATTTCCTTATTATTTGCCCCAGGGTTAAGTTGAAAAAAAAAGTGGGGACAGAGCATCGCCTTGCTTTAAACCAGATGTTATTTGAAAAGGGTCTGACTTTCTGCCTTTTTATGTTATTACATTTTAAGTGTCTTCCATACATAGTTTGTTCATGGTAATTAACTTTTTTGGTATTCCAAAGTCCTTCACAGCATTCCATAAACAGTTTCTATGTACACAATCATACAGGTTTTTAAAATCAACACCACCACCCCCCCCCCCCCCCCCCCCCCCCCCCCCCCCCCCCCATCCAAATGATGTTGGCACCCAAAATGTACATATGAATTTTTAAAATATTTGGCACTGAAGGATGATCTTGAAGAACACTGACTTTTGTTTTAATTTGTGTTTTAAGTTATGTTTTAGGTTATGATGTGGTTGAGAGCCATTGCTGCAGTCAATATTCCTTGTAAAGATAGCTAACAATATTCTTTGTGCAGATAGCTAACAATATTCCTTGTAAAGATAGCTAACAATATTCTTTGTGCAGATAGCTAACAATATTCCTTGTACAGATAGCTAACAATATTCTTTGTGCAGATAGCTAACAATATTCTTTGTGCAGATAGCTAACAATATTCTTTGTGCAGATAGCTAACAATATTCTTTGTGCAGATAGCTAACAATATTCTTTGTGCAGATAGCTAACAATATTCCTTGTAAAGATAGCTAACAATATTCTTTGTGCAGATAGCTAACAATATTCCTTGTACAGATAGCTAACAATATTCTTTGTGCAGATAGCTAACAATATTCCTTGTAAAGATAGCTAACAATATTCTTTGTGCAGATAGCTAACAATATTCCTTGTACAGATAGCTAACAATATTCTTTGTGCAGATAGCTAACAATATTCTTTGTGCAGATAGCTAACAATATTCTTTGTGCAGATAGCTAACAATATTCTTTGTGCAGATAGCTAACAATATTCTTTGTGCAGATAGCTAACAATATTCCTTGTAAAGATAGCTAACAATATTCTTTGTGCAGATAGCTAACAATATTCCTTGTACAGATAGCTAACAATATTCTTTGTGCAGATAGCTAACAATATTCTTTGTGCAGATAGCTAACAATATTCTTTGTGCAGATAGCTAACAATATTCTTTGTGCAGATAGCTAACAATATTCTTTGTGCAGATAGCTAATAATATTCTTTGTGCAGATAGCTAACAATATTCTTTGTGCAGATAGCTAACAATATTCTTTGTGCAGATAGCTAACAATATTCTTTGTGCAGATAGCTTACAATATTCTTTGTGCAGATAGCTAACAATATTCTATGTGCAGATAGCTAACAATATTCTTTGTGCAGATAGCTTACAATATTCTTTGTGCAGATAGCTAACAATATTCTTTGTGCAGATAGCTTACAATATTCTTTGTGCAGATAGCTAACAATATTCTTTGTGCAGATAGCTAACAATATTCTTTGTGCAGATAGCTAACAATATTCTTTGTGCAGACAGCTAACATTATTCTTTGTGCAGATAGCTAACAATATTTTTTGTGCAGATAGCTTACAATATTCTTTGTGCAGATAGCTAACAATATTCTTTGTGCAGATAGCTAACAATATTCCTTGTAAAGATAGCTAACAATATTCTTTGTGCAGATAGCTTACAATATTCTTTGTGCAGATAGCTTACAATATTCTTTGTGCAGATAGCTAACAATATTCTTTGTGCAGATAGCTAACAATATTCTTTTTGCAGATAGCTAACAATATTCTTTGTGCAGATAGCTAACAATATTCTTTGTGCAGACAGCTAACATTATTCTTTGTGCAGATAGCTAACAATATTCTTTGTGCAGACAGCTAACATTATTCTTTGTGCAGATAGCTAACAATATTCTTTGTGCAGATAGCTAACAATATTCTTTGTGCAGATAGCTAACAATATTCCTTGTGCAGATAGCTAACAATATTCTTTGTGCAGATAGCTTACAATATTCTTTGTGCAGATAGCTAACAATATTCTTTGTGCAGATAGCTAACAATATTTTTGTGCAGATAGCTAACAATATTCTTTGTGCAGATAGCTAACAATATTCTTTGTGCAGATAGCTAACAATATTCTTTGTGCAGATAGCTAACAATATTCTTTGTGCAGATAGCTAACAATATTCTTTGTGCAGATAGCTAACAATATTCTTTGTGCAGATAGCTAACAATATTTTTTGTGCAGATAGCTAACAATTTTCTTTGTGCAGATAGCTAACAATATTTTTTGTGCAGATAGCTAACAATATTCTTTGTGCAGATAGCTAATAATTTTATTTTAAGTGGCACCCTAAAAAAAAAATACAACAGAACCAGAGTGTACAATTTAGAGGTTAAAATAAGTATTACCTTGGTGGTTGATTTAGTGTTCACATTATCCTTGCATATCAGGTGAGATTTATCATTATCTTTGGTATTTTGTAGAAATACATAATCTTCATCTGGGCACTTCTCTACACAAACCTGTAAAAAAAAAGAATTGAGAGAGAGTCAAGCACTTTAATCAGATGTCACATGGCATCAAAAATAATTAAGGAAACTGCAAGGTTAACTGTTAGGAAGCAGTTTTGATTGCCGAGGAAAAACACATCCAAGACAAAGTGAGAAATGATACTATTAGACAGACTGTGGGAACAACATCACCCACCACATGAATTGAGAAACAGAAGATCAAATGACTTGGTCATCTTTTCAGAATGTAGACACAATTACAAACACAGGGAATATACATGAACAAATCTGATGTGAAAGTGAGAGATAGCAGTAGGAGAAATAGATTGATGACATTCTTCTTCTCTTCTTTTCTCTAATCCTGGAATACCTTGCGGGGTGAGGACAGGAAGAGATCGCTGGAGGGGGCCCTTCTGTTCTCTTAGTATAAAGCACTTTTCAGTGTGTCTGACATTTCTGTGGTCCATATTATGTGTTGTAGACCTCTGGATCTCATACCACTGCACATGTATCGCATTGCTCTCTGTGGTGCACTGTCTGATGCCAATCTTGTTACATGGCCAAACCATTTGATGTGTTGTCTACCTTTAAAGTTCAGTGTTGGTTCTGTACCAATGCAGGCGCTACACATGAAATGATCTAAAGTGAAAGCAAGAGGCCGTCCTAGGAGAAGATGGATTGATGACATTACAGAGCTTCTACACTGACACGGAATGACAGAAGCCAATGCTGCCCATCAGGCAACGGATTGCCAACTGTTTCTCCCACAATGCTTAACACCAATAGTCAAAACTGATGATGATGATGATGATGATGTCTTAATTCTATTCATGTTTTTTTTATTCCTCTTTGTATAATGTTAAAAATTTTTTTTTTAATGTACATACATAAAAAAAAAATTATTAGTGAACTGTAAACTATAGTTGTTTTATTGTAAAGTATAGTTTATGGAAATTCCCAGGGGTTATGATTCATTTTTGTTTTTCAGCCTTGGCATGGTGAAGGGGTTAAATGAGCATTGTCCTCTCTCTCTCTCTCTCTCTCTCTCTCTCTCTCTCTCTCTCTCTCTCTCTCTCTCTCACACACACACACACACACACACACACATACCCATGTGTCAGAGAGCTATTTAGGTAACTTGTAGACACAAACATAACAAACAATGATGTTGGTAGAGGACTTGTTATATGGTGTATACATAAAATCGTCCTACCTGTGGAGTGGGGCAACCATTGACAAACACACCTGGTCCCATCCTACCACATGCAACAAGGTCGAAGAAAAACAGGTACTTCTTGTTGCTGTAGATTGAAGAAAAACATGCAAAATCCAGTCAGTACATAGTGACAAGTGAACGAACGAACCAACAAACAAACTTTATTTTCAAAGGGTCACAGATTGGGCACCCAGGCCCGTCTTACGTTTTGCCATTCCAGTCAACCATCTTCCGCACAGCAGTTGTATTTTACTAATAAAGCATGTTATGATTATATGATGTTACACATATTATGAATATTATATAAGAACACAAAAGCATGAGTTGTAAAGTGCATTCAAAAACCTGTACGTTCATACACACACCCACATACATACACCCACACACATACAAACACACACACACGCTCACCCACTCACTTACACACACACACATACATACATGCATGCATGCATACATATATATATGCATGCATACATACAGGCATGCATACATACATACAGGCATACACACATAAATACAGGCAAGCTCGATGAGCTGTATTTCTGTGTTTGTTTGTAATCTTCTCCTTCAATACATTTGTGTTGCTCTTTCACCACACCTGACACACACACACATCGTGATTGTAACTGATTCAGAAAGCATGCTGAGGAAGATCAGAACAGGTATGCTTCGGGCAGAGTGGCATGCTTCGCTACGGAGGACACGAGTGAGGAGTATTGTCTGGATTTTTTCACCGGGTTACGCCGGTGTGTTGGGAAATGAACAGGTGGACAGACTGGCTGGCTCTGCACAACTTGGTGGAATACTGCTACATGGTAGGGCAGACGTGGTTAGTGCCTTGTGGGAGAGCGTGTACAATTCAGAGGAGCAGATGGATCATCACAGTCTGGTGAGATTGATGCAGTTGGAGGTGACGAGAGTTTGTGGCAGAAGCTCGAGGCTCAGAGGAAAGGCAAGAAGGACGTTTAATCAGAAAGCTACTGGCACCATTAGTATCGGAACTCTTTGCTGGCTGCTGAAGATGGGGATGGAGCGCTTATGGGAATGCCCCAAGTGCTGTGATGTCGGTTCTTGAATAAAATAAAATTAAATCATATCAAACCTGACAGAAAAATGCCTGAAAGATAATGAGGTGAAGACAATGAGAATGCTGCTGCATAGGAGAACGGAGCACACACAGGTGGGGCCGAAGTGCTAAGGTGTGGCTATGGACAACAAGTAACATTGTAAGCTGATGGAAATGTCTGAGATATCTCATTTTCTAAGAATGATTGAATAAACATTGTGTGGTAGAACAGTAGCAGAAGGTGTGGTGCTAGGAAAGATGGCCAGAGGCTCACAAGCACGAGGATGGGCAGAAGTTTGTGAGACCTTGGTTGGGAAAGCACGTTAGGTGGGAGAGCCTGCACAAGACCAAGTTTCTTTCTTCAAGCCGAATGAGAAGAGAGCCACGTTCTGCAATGGACCTGTTACATGGTGATGAAACACTGTGTTTTTCTTCCATAGTTGATCCTTCAGATGAAAGTTAATTATAGGCAGGTATGATTCACTTTCAGCTATTTTAGAGTAAGAATTCATTTGTGTTTCTTTTACATATTGCATAGTGTCAAACAACAGACTTGACAATGCACTTGGGTACAATTCGTCAACATTGTACTTAGTTGACTTTGGGGTGTATCTCTAGCACTGTGGGTGACATGGGCCAAGTGCCAACGATATGTGATTTACAGCAGTTCTTCAACCTGTGGGTGACGGACCCAACGTGAGTGGCGGGTGCCTGCTGTGTGACAGGCCCCTGGTGAGTGGCAGGCCATTTGTGAGTCGTGGTAAAACGCAAAAATAGTTTACCTTGTCATGTAATGGATGAACTTGTCTTCCAGGTCAACCCAGCCTTAAATGGGTACCAGGAGGAGTCCTGGAAAGTAAAGGTGACCGGTGTGATGTTGACCGCATAACTCACAAAGTGCCGATTGGTATATAAAATATAGATCTAGCCTTACATGCACAATACGTCTGAAGGCGTGCAATGCGTCCTTTAGTTAATTTTTTTGTTTACTGATAAAGTCAAGGGTGGGGATATGTAGTTTTTCTAATCTAGGATTACAGTGTCTAGGATTGGGACATACAGAATGAAAATAAAACATAGAAATCCTGGACACCAAGCTCAACCACATAGACGGTGTAACCTGTGAGCAGCAGAAGATGCCGCATTAACTGAAAGTTGTAATTTTGGGAACTCGAATTTAACCAAATTACTGCAGTCTACTTTTGTTTTTGTCCCTCTATTGGTCAACTGTCAGCTTGTCCGCAAAAAAAAGTTTCTCTTTTGTTGGACCTCGAGTTATGTAGACTTGTTTCCATAGCGAGACGCACACTCAATATTGAGGTGACAGGTTCAATTCCCGGCAAGGTAACAATTGCTTTCGATTTATTTGCTGTCCAGTGTGTCCTTTTTTTCTTTTTAATTCCTTTTATGTGTGCCGATCAATACATTTTATATATATAGTTGAGGAAATATGATTTAGATTCTAGAAGGCAAAATCAGTGTTCACCTGTTCTGTACTAAACTCCCATCGTAGCTGTGAATTTAAATTTGAGTGTGCCTGTTATGTCAATGCTTCCGTTGTCTAGTAATGTATGGTCCATAAATGTCTCATTACCACCACAGCAGCTCGAACCCAGTATTTCAGAATTTTAAAACTGCCTCAAAAACTTCTAAGCCACATACCACGACAGTGTGTACTATTTTTTTTTTTTTTTATAAGACCAAATCCTTGGGGCGCAGGCCTCTTGAAGGCTCCCGCTCTTTGCCAATATACATTTCAGAGAGCTAAGCTACCCTTGAACAACATATATAAATTATCGACATCATAGCACATCGGGCATAACCATAGATGCTTCGTCCCATGCAGTTAATGTCTTAAGATGCTAACTACTCCCGTTTGGTAATATGACGGTATTTTCTTTCGATAAATATCTTGACCTGAACAGTTTGTAGTGGCTGCACTAAATAACTGGACCTGTATTTCCAGGCTTAAGACTAAATATGTGTCCTTTAGAGGAGGTAATTTTGTGTCTTTTTTGGGGTGAGGAGGGGGGGGGGGTCTTTCTTGTGATTTTAAGTTCAATAGTTTGCCATTGCTATCTAAACGATGGGCTCTCGATACCACTGTCGAAATCAACTTAAGGGGGTTTTCTGCCAAATCGCCCGAAGGGGAAGTCAAACCAGGTACGATGGAGTTACAAGTCGCCTTCCTAGCGGCGATGCCACAGACACATTTGGACACATCGACCCGGTCCTAACAACTGAGTTGAGTTGAGCTGATTAAAGAACCGACTTCACATCACTCTTGGTATTCATATAAGCGCTCCGTCCCCATCTTCAGCAGCCAGCGCAGAGTTCTAATAACAAAGGTGCCAACAAACCCCGCCTTGCCTTTCCTCTGAGCGTCAAGTATCGACCAGATCCTCTCGTCACCCCCCCCCCCTCCCCTTTTTCTGCTGCACCACTCTCACCAGACTGTAGTGATCCATTTGCTTATCCGACTTGTACACGTTCTCCCACAAGACCCTTACCACTTCTGCCTTATCATGTATCAGTATTCCACCATGTTGTGCAGTGCCAGCCAGTCTGTCTGCCTGTTCGTTTCCCAGCACCCCAGCGAACCCAGAAAAAAAAAATCCAGACAATGCTCCTCATCCGTGCGAAGCATGCCACTAAGCACGAAGCATGCCCTAGTAAGTGATAAATACGATCAGTGGTTTCTTATTCTCTCACCAAATTAAAACGTGTATGTTGTTTTACAGTGTTAAAGACTAAATGAAACCACACCAAACTCTAGAGAAGAAGAAGAAGAAGAAGAAAAAGAAAAAACCCGTGTGTTATTGCTAGAACTATAATTGAATACAGTTGACGACAATAAGCAACTAAAGTGTAAACCAACAGAGACGGTGAAGGCAACAGACGAGATCAAAAGAACACAAAACCGGGTCGCAGTTAGGTCACGTCGTTGTTTCATTCAACGGGAAGAAAAGAAACGTGACTGGGGTGTGGCAAAGTAAGTGAGAGACTTAGATTGTGCAAAGTAATTGGGGGTTTAACGTAACCAGACACCGGGTTCTGTAACTGGCAACCAACGTCACTCATCAAAGTGATCAAAACTTAAATTCTAGAGGACTAACCTGCTTATAACGGGATTTTAATCCCATATGACTAGGTTACTCTCCGCAAAACAGCCACGCAAAACAGCCAGTCGCCTGACCTGAGTGTCACACGAACAAACTCTGTATTCCGGGGATATGGTGTAAAATATTCCCTTGTGAACCGAACCTTCTTCTTCTTCTTCGTTCGACATCAGTCATGCTACACATTGAGTCCCGTCTGGGTCAAAAATAGGATTGTGCGTTTAAGGTCGCCACCGGTCCCCCATAGCTTCTCTCGCAATGTGAACCGAATGACATGGGGTATATGAAACGAACCTATGATCTTCACAGAGCTAGGAGAACGGCTATTTAACTCTGCTAGACCCTACTGCATCCATGATATCAAAGTGATTGCACACGAGTCAACGGAATAGAGAGAGCGAGCCTTAAGGCATAACAGGACAGTGAATGAATGAGGGAATTATTGAATGAGCAGCAGCAGCAGCAGCAGCAGCAGCAGCAGCAGCAGTAGTAGTAGTAGTAGTAGTAGTAGTAGTAGTATTAGTAGTAGTAGTAGTAGTAGTAGTAGTAGCAGTAGTAGTAGCAAGAGGACCACAGTAGTAGTATTAGTAGTAATAGTAGCAGCAGCAGCACAGTAGTAGTATCTGTAGCAGCAGTGGTAAGAACCATTGCAATAACGGCGGAGGTGGCAGCAGCAGTAGTAGTGGTAGAAGTGGTGCTTATTGTGTTAATAGTGGTAATGGTGGTGGGTGTAGTAGTGGTAGCAGCACAGTAGGAGAAGCAGCAGCCTAGTAGCAGTAATACTAGTAGTGGTGGTGGTGGTAGCAGTAGTGGCGATGATGGTGGTGTTAGTAGTAGCAGTAGCAGCAGCAGTAGTAGTGGTGGCGAAAATATTGTAGCAGCAATGGTAGTTTGAATAAAAACAAGTCTATTCATGATTTCTAGCGCCTCCGTTTGTGGTTTTTGTTGCGACGTGTTTACTGTTTATGTTCAATTACGTTGCTATTCTTTAGGGATATGTTTGTAATTACAGCTACATCCGGTTTTTTTTTTTTTTTGGGGGGGGGGGGGGGGGGGTCCTGTGTGTATGTGGGGGTGGGGGGGGGGGCGCTCGCAACATTAATCTATTTCTAGTAGTATTTTTTGAAAACATTTCTGAATTGTATACTTGTAATCAGAGAGGTAAAAACTGTAGATACAGGGGAACTGAATGGTCGTAGACCACAAGGCAGATCAAGAAAACAGACAGACCTGCAAACATTTGGTGTTACCAACTGGAAAAAGAAGGCCTACAAGAGAGATGAATGAAGGCGGTAGGTATCTACAGTTATAAACCTCACGGGCTCGAAATGCTGAAGAAGAAGATCCATCTCGTTATGTTGTGCGTTAGGTACATTCTTTGTAGCCTGATTGTTTGCTTCTCCTTCGCCGTGAGTATGTGAATTTTGCAGGCCATTGTTTCCGATTTCCTAGCTAATTTATTGCTTCATTTCAAAAAGCGACCTCTAAAATGTGTAACCCAGATATTTCGAAGGAGGCGAGGGCCGAAAAAAAAAATTCATCAGAAAGAGACAATCATTATTTTAGTCCACCATATAAGAAGAGGGAACCGGAACATGTAACCTGTGGAAAGATTTGTGAATGGAATGAGAGACTGGGGAAGACAAAGCGAAACGATTACTGAGAGTCATTTTTCATAACACGAAGAGTTGCCACCACATAAGCCAATAAATGATCTTGGAGATTGCAGGTTGTGGAGATGCATCATCGCCCACACCAGTCAGCAAGGAATCGATAATGATGACGATGGTTTGTCAGCTTTTTTCACAGTGTTCTATCAGTTAACATAGATTATGGTTCGTCTGTAGATAAGGGAAAGTGAGACAGATGTACAATCAGACAGTTACTGGTACCATCAGAATTGGAACTCTTTGCTTGCTGCTGAACATGGGGACTGAGCGCTTATTGTAGTGTCCCTAGTACTATGACCCCTGAGCACATCCTGCAGTACTGCCCTTACCTCTCCCAGCAAAGACTGTGGATCTATCTGGCCCAGGGGATCCACATTGCGAAAGAAGCTATGGGGGACCGGTGGCGACCTTAAACGCACAATCCTATTTTTTACCCAGACGGGACTCAATGTGTAGCATGACTAATGTCGAACGCAGAAGAAGAAGAACTATGATGTTGATTATTTATTCGACATTCAACATTCATTCTTATGTACGTTTTATTTGTTTTGTAACTAGTAACAAATATTTACTGTTTTTTTCCACCTGCCCTTGCTAAACAGGTTTAATTAATTTTATTATTTATTGTCTTCGCATCTGTTGTTGTTGATCCACACATTGTAATTAATTTCGTTGAAGTCATTTTTCTTGTTTTACTTTTCATGCTGGTTTATTTGGCTCTCTATCGTATTATTAATTGTTTTTATACTGTAGATGTTTGTCCATGTCTCATTAATTTAGTTTATATAAAGGTTGTTAAAACCGAGATGTCTGACGCATTCAGAACCGATATCAGAGGAATAAGAGTATTCCCATAAATGCTCCCTCCCAGTATTCAGCAACTTGCGCAAAGTTCCAATGTTAATGGTGCACGCTGAAGTCTGACGATATGTTCGTTTTATCCTTTGAGTTCTGAGTATCTGCCAAGATATTATAAGGTAATGGTCAAGAAATTACAAGACTGTAGTCAAGAAGTTGCATGGTAATGGTCAAAAGATGCAAGGTACTGGTCAAGAGATAACTTAGTAATGGTCAAGAAATTAAAATGCAACTGCTGACAAGTTATTAATCAACAGGTTATAAGGTACTGGTCGAGATATTACAAGGTAATGGTCAAAATAACACAAAGCACAGACCATACTCACACTTTAGTGCCCATTCCACACAGGTTACCCTCGGAGTCTTGTGGGTAGATCAACAACTTTGGGTTGCCATACACGTAAGCTGGAAGTAGGAACATCAAGTATTACATACAACTGGTTGGACGGACAAGCACATAAAGTCTTGTTTGAATTTATGAACTTAGGAATGAATTAAAGAATCAACGAATTTATTAATGAATAAACCAACCAACGAGCCTACCAAAGAATAATGTCATATTTCTGTTAAACTACTTTTCTGCTTCTGAGGCATCTACTGTTATGATTTATTCTTTCTTGACCTACACATCAGGCTGGGCAGTCTCACATATAAGAACATCAATTTCAGTGTACCTGACTGTCATCGTCCATCAATAGGTCCTTCAGGGAACGTTGCTCTCATCACTGCACGCACGGAAATCTTTCTTTCTCTAGCCAGGTTTCCAGTCGTAGGTTCTTTCATAGGCAATACAATTTTAATGTCTTCTATCAACGTTCGCGGAGGTCTGCCTCTGCCTTGGTTTCAAGAAACTAATCTGACTGCGAGAAATGGAGAAACCTAATCACAAAGTCAGCAGTAACTTCTGACCCAACGACATACCGCGTTATGTAAGTAAGTGAAGTAAAGATCCCTTTTGACACCTTTTGAGCACAACGGGCATATGGGAGGAGCACCCATATTTTTACAGGCCAATCGGTACAAGGTTGGTAATGTGGTTAGCATTACGCATGGTCGTCTTTACTTCCCTAGGACATCCATCTTGGAACCATTTAGGATGTGTACCATACCATGATAATAATTCAGGCAGCCAGTTGTGGGTTTCAATCGCGGTACGTTGGAATTACGAGTTGGACTCGCAACGCCTAAGCCACGGACGCCGCTTACACAGGGTTATAGAAACTATATATATATATATATATATATATATATATATATATATATATATATATATATATATATATATATATATAAACTATTTAGCATATTTATATGTGGTAAAGATTTATATATATATATATATATATATATATATATATATATATATATATATATATATATATATATATATATATATATATATATATCTTTACCATACATAGTACTATTTTTCAGGGTTATATAGGGCAGAGGGGTCTTGTGCCCGATATATCAGGGTCGTGTGGCTGTAGTGCTGTCACCACGAACTACGGAGATTTGAATGCTTATTTTTTGTTGTTGTTGCCTTCATTTCTTCATTCATTCATTCATTCATTCATTCATTCATTCATTAATTAATTCATTCATTCATTCATTCATTCATTCATTCATTCATTCATTCATTCATTCATTCATTCATTCATTCATTCATTCACTCATTCATAAAATGTCCCATAGTACCATTATATGTTACATAGAGCTCTATCCCTCCATTCCGTTATATACTGTTTAACCACTTCGGTATCATGCATGCGATCCAGCCTAGCACCACCGGCTTCTTTTACCAACGTTTGCTTTAGGCTTGCCTCCAGGACGCCCTCGTTTCCTAGCTATGTTTATTTCTCATTTCATTACCTGTTGCCTGAAACATGGATGGTCCTCATCCGAATGGTAGTACTTTGTGTCACTGTGTGTTTATCGCTTGGTGTGATGTCTTGGTGGGGTTGAACGTCATCACCATCATCATCACTACATGTTTGATAGTCCTCTGCTCGTTTTGTGTGTGTGTGTGTGTATGTGTGTGTGTGGGGGGGGGGGGGGTTAGGGTGTGTGTCCAATATAGCGACACCTTCTCTGTCTTCAACTGTTGATACTTGAAGTTGCCCAGACCTTCTCTTGTGTTCCCCCCCCCCCCCCACTTCTCTTGAATGCATCCACATTTTGGGTTCATCATTTTTTATCAGCAGCATAAGGCACTCACAATCAGCACAAAGAGACATCTCATAGAAAGCATATTCATTCCCATCCTATGCTACCAGTGCCAGACGTAGACACTTACAACAAAATTAGTAACCATAGAAATGAGGTGTCCAAGAAAGACTGTAGGAGCGATCAGAAGAGATAAAACAAGGAATGAGGTCATGCGAGATAAAGTCGGCACAGAACCAATTCTAAATTACATACAAAAGACAGCAAATTGAATGGTTGCCCACTTGGAGAGAATGCCGTCTGATGCTATACCATACACTGCATATATCAAAAGAGGAGAGGGGTGTAGAGCAAGAAGCAGACCAAGAACAATATGGGAAGATAATATCAGAGAAACTCTACAGCACCAAACATCAGAGAAACTCTACAGCACCAAACATCAGAGAAACTCTACAGCACCAAACATCAGAGAAACTCTACAGCACCAAACATCAGAGAAACTCTACAGCACCAAACATCAGAGAAACTCTACAGCACCAAACATCACAGAAACTCTACAGCACCAAACATCAGAGAAACTCTACAGCACCAAACATCAGAGAAACTCTACAGCACCAATCATCAGAGAACCTCTACAGCACCAAACATCAGAGAAACTCTACAGCACCAAACATCAGAGAAACTCTACAGCACCAAACATCAGAGAAACTCTACAGCACCAAACATCAGAGAAACTCTACAGCACCAAACACCAGAGAAACTCTACAGCACCAAACATCAGAGAAACTCTACAGCACCAAACATCAGAGAAACTCTACAGAACCACGATGTGTTTATGGTGGAAGCAGCGAGAAGAGCACGAAGCAGGACCTTACATCTCCCTCGACACCCGAAGCGGCAAAAGAGAACGTAGAGGAAGTTCATCTTCTTACAGGTATTCAAATCATGGTTCCCTCGTAGGAGAATTCATCATATCACATAAGAGAAGTAAAAGTCTGAGACTTTAATTCAGACTACATCACGATTATGGGACTAGATTCACATTAATGTATTTCAAAAGTCGTGACTGCACACTTTAAACAATATCTCTAGAACTTCTATCCCGATCAGCATGAATGTTTGCATGTTGCCTTAAATGTCCCATGTCCTTATGATTTTATAATTGACAATTACACAATTACACAATTACACAATTACACAATTACTGCTGTTTTCTCAATGCAAAGAATTTCTTTGATTTATGTTTGACTAATAATTTGTGTACCCCTAAAATAATTATTTAAAAAAAGCGAAAGAGAGAGAGAGAGAGAGAGAGAGAGAGAGAGAGAGAGAGAGAGAGAGAGAGAGAGAGAGAGACGCACATGTGTCACATGTGTAGGGATGTGTGTTGATTTTTTAATAGCCGTTCATGCATACAATGAAAAACTCACAACTCACAGCTAATGCTAGAGATGACTAGCTCAGAGCCTAAAAAGCTGTTACAGAGTTACAGATTTTTAAAGTTTGGCACAACTTCGCGAAAAGACTATAAATATTTAAACACAGTTTGAAAAAAAAAAGGGAAAAAAAATCAAAGGACAACGAATTGATTGCACAGTTTATTTTATGGTATATGTCGCTGTATGTTTTACTACAGTAACAGTTGAATAATGAAGCGATAAATAAATCCTTTTGCAACTGAAATACAAAATCTTAAAAATTGACTTATGCAGCTCGCAACATTGTCTTTTTGTCTGCACAAATCTGAACCAAAGCAAAAGTTTAACTTTTATTTTTATTTTACTTAGATGGGCTCTTTATTTCCTCCACTATATACAGTTGTTAGTGTAGTATGCATTTGATCAGATAGACGAAATAAACTAGGCAATACGTCGCGCAGTCTAATGTATGCGTCTTTTTTGTTCAAAATTGCAAGGGAGAAACATTACTTTAATTATTACACCATAGACAGAAATAGCAACATACCGAAGTAGGCCACAACCACAAGGCCTCCAATGAAGATCAAGAATATAAAACAGCAAATAACATCCGTACATGATCTGTGGACAAATAACTCAAATGTTTATATTTTAGATACGTTTATACGGCTCATTTGTATAACTACAATTATTATAATCTAGAGCAGTGTCTGTCAACCTTCCTAATGCGGCGACCTTTTAACACAGTTCCTCACGTGGTGGCGACCCTTTAACACAGTTCCTCATGTTGTGGCGACACTTTAACACAGTTCCTCATGTTGTGGCGACCCTTTAACACAGTTCCTCATGTGGTGGCGACCCTTTAACACAGTTCCTCATGTTGTGGCGACACTTTAACACAGTTCCTCATGTTGTGGCGACCCTTTAACACAGCTCCTCATGTTGTGGCGACCCTTTAACACAGCTCCTCATGTGGTGGCGACCCTTTAACACAGTTCTTCATGTTGTGGCGACCCTTTAACACAGTTCCTCATGTTGTGGCGACCCTTTAACACAGTTCCTAATGTTGTGGCGACCCTTTAACACAGTTCCTCATGTTGTGGCGACCCTTTAACACAGTTCCTCATGTTGTGGCGACCCTTTAACACAGTTCCTCATGTTGTGGCGACCCTTTAACACAGTTCCTCATGTTGTGGCGACCCTTTAACACAGTTCCTCATGTTGTGGCGACCCTTTAACACAGTTCCTCATGTTGTGGCGACCCTTTAACACAGTTCCTCATGTTGTGGCGATCTGCAGTCATACAATTATTTTCTTTGCTACTTCATAACTTCAATGAATATGTGTTTTCCGTGTTTTTTTTTTTTTTAAATTCGACCTACATGAAAGGGTCGTTCGACCCCCAAAAGGGTCGCGACTGGCAGGTTGAGAGCCGTTGATCTAGACAGAAGAATAAAATACCAATTCTTTCAGTCTTTGACAGTTTAGACAGCACTGTCTTCACCAGAGCTTTACCAGTGATTAACGTCCAACAACAGACACCAAAGGAGCACTGTTTAATTCAGTGTATTTACATATCTGTGCTACCAGTGCCAGACGTGGGTATTACCAACAGTAGGAACAAATCAAAACAGCAAAAATGAAAGATCTACAACGAAAACTGAAGGTACCAACAAGAGAAGACGGGATCAGAAATGAAAATTTCTTGAAACAAGTTTTGGTGGGAAAGGTGTTAAATTTTATCAAAAGACAACAGATGAAATGGATGAAATATGTCTTGACTACCATACGTGTATCATAGAAATCTCGATCACTCAGACAAAACGGCAGCAGATATGAAGGTCCGTCACGCAGCTGATGGATAGATGGAGTATTGGAAGTCGTGGCTACAAGCATGTATGTAGCACACACCAAGGCTTGCAATGATACCTCTTAAGAACCTAACGCTGAATAGGGTCTAGAGAATATAACCAAAAAGAAAAGACACAATAATTATCAGGTACTCATTTTGAATGGAGAATTGTCAAATCTTGACATATGATTAGAAAGATGAATCGTCAAACCTGGACAAGCGATTAAAAAAAAATTGAATTGTCAAACCTGAACACGCGATTTGAAAGATGAATTGTCGAGCCTAGACCAGCGGTTAGAAAGATTATTTGTCAAACCTGGACAAGCGGTTAGAAAGATGAATTATACAACTATTTCTCAGTTTAAAAACAATTTTGCCAAATCAAAAGTCAAAGTGGGTAGTAAAGAGCGATGAAAAGTGGTCACTGTTCTCCATTAGTAAAGCTGGCGCCAGCAAACAAAACAGTGGACACATGAATACAAAGTCCTTCGCCTTAAAACTGTTTCGGACATGAAAAATGGCGAAAGACCAAGCGTGTTTTTACCGACTGTAATTAGCGCGATATTTAGCAAAGCCTCGCCAGGAGTCACTTCTAAAACAATCGATGAAGATCAGTTGAAGAGAAGGAAATGAAAAATACAGACTGGTGAATGACACGATAAACAGGCTTGACACAAATTCGTCAACAGAATTTATAACTTCAGAATACTTATGTTGTCTTCTTTTGTCAAAATCTGCTTGTGCCGCTAGGCGTCGCAGTCTATCAGATGATCGGCAACCGAGCCAGGGCGCGCTCAGTCGCTTCATATGCCGTGATGTTATGAAGTCTCAAGTTGTCCGTGACTCCTTCAATCCATCTTCTTCTTGGTCTTCCCCTGCCTCTTGGTGTTTCGATTTTCCTGTTGTATGCTCTTGAAGCTGGCATCGTTGGTTCCATTCTCATTAGGTGACGAAACCATTTCATTCTTTGCTTCTCAATAAATTTAACGATGGGTATGGTTCCAATAGTTCTTGTAATCACATCGTTTCTCACTCGATCTCTTCTGGTTTTATTCGCAGCCATTCTCAAACATCTCATTTCACAGGTGGTTAGTCTTCTCTCGTGTTCTTTTGGTAACAATTAAGAATACACCTGCGTTAAATGGGTATCACTGACCTGGCCACATGCCGATATAAAGCACAAGGTCAGACTAGAGATTTTCCAAGCGTTATTCTTCTTCCTAATCTTCCTCATTTACCACTTTTGAGTGTCGTGGGATATATAAGGTTCTGCTTCTTGCACTTCTAGCCATCTCGACTAAAGACACATCGTTCTGTTGTAGAGTTTCTCGGATGTTATCTTTCCATTTTGTTCTTGGTCTACCTCGTGCTCTTTGCCCATCTTCCCTTTTACTGTATGCCTTGTATGGCATAGCGTCACATGGCATTCTCTCTAAGCTGGCAAACTTTTTGAATTGCTATCTTTTCTGTATGCTCCTGTAGCTCGTCTAAGACATCCGATTTCCATGGTTACTACTCTTCTTTTCTGGTTTGTGTTCAGTGATCAAGCGTTATCTGTACCTGCACATGACTGCAAATTACACCTGTCTGGTGTCTACGTTATGTGTGCCCTTTTTATAACTTTTTGGGAGTTTGAACGGGGCATTGGGGATTTGCCTCGTTGATCTATCTATCATCCAGATTTGACAGAAGGGGGAAAGGGCAAAAATACACGGTTGAGCATTTTCGTCTTGTTCAGCATTGCCAGCACTTAATTAAAGTTCATCACTGCAGATTGGCTTTCTGTTTCCAGTTGGTAACTCGAAGTCCGTTGCCTTTGTCCGTGTACATCCTTACTGGTACTTATAGCATGTAGACTCGTCGTTGGCTGCTGAAGAAGGGGATGGAGCACGTCTGGGAATGTCTTGATTCGTCGCTTTTCTTCGTTCTGGTTGTCAATCCATTTAGACTTTGGCTTTGTTGGAAGCCTGAGTTTTGCATGTACATCCGTTTTACTGGCTTATTTTGGTGCAGTAAGATGTTCCAGTAAGATGCTCCGCTGGGGCATATGCTCTCCGACTTCGAAGACAGACCCCAATTAATTGGTTCCCCCGATATGCTTGATGTGGCGGCACTGGGCCTAGTCTGGTCCCCCCCCCCCTTTTTTTTTCCCTATACGACCCCAGAACCCACAGAGGGAGAATGTCCTGACTGTAGTGTTGATTTCCTCATTCATTTATTCGTGTAAAATGTATCCGATTTCGAGGCTTAGTTAAATGTGGCGAGAGCAAACAAATGTTATACAGAGCTGGGGGTGTCCGCTTTAGGCTTCGTACCAGCAACATGGCGAGTTTGTCTGACACAAAATGATCAGATTTAGTCAGTCAGACACACACACACACACGCACGCACACATACAAGCACACAGACGGAGGAAGAGAGAGAGAGAGAGAGGGGGGGGGGAGGATCTGACACACAAAGACGACACAGCAAGACAAACTATAAGGCATTGTCAAAGACGTTAACTGCAATGTTTGTAACCCATCCTGGAATTAACGTCTAGAAAATGATTGTTGAAGAAAAATGAAGACATGATAGTCACAGTGTAAATTTGTGACGAAGCGTTTTTCACCAAAAAAAAAAAAAAAAGCAACATCTAGGATACACTTTGTATGTAAATCTGCGACACAAAGTACATGAAGTCATACAAATGTGGCCCACAGTCAGTTGTGAGGCAATGTGCAATAAATATTGTTGTCTACAGGAATAATTCTTCTTTGCACTTAAAACAGAAGGTGTTATTAATTGAAGCAATCGTAATTATTATTGAAGAAATAATATAACTGAAGAAACGACGTACTGTACTTGCATGGTTCAAATTTATTCTGAAACATAAAGTATCCTGAGACTTTACAAACACCCTATAGTTATAGTTACCTCTTAACAAACGCGCTGTTAAGAGATGCCCTCTGGGAGTGAAAAAGAAGCACTACTGACTGATTTTCTACTTTACCAGGACATCACACAAGCGATAAACACCCGAGGACACAATCTGCCACCATGCGGATGAGGATCACCGTGGAGAGGTCCCAGAAACCACGTTCAGCCTTTAGGCCACATTTATGGCCGGGCTATATTGCGACCCTGACAAAAGGCAGAGTAGGGCTTCAAATAACGAAAAATGTCATTCTAAAAAAATGGCAAGATTACTGATGAAATAAAGAAGCATGCAACAGAAATGTTTTGTATGCTTGGACAGTATCAAGAGTTTGTCTTTAAAATGCCAGTGCAGACAGTTTTCATGCACAGAAGAAGAAGAAGACATTCGACAGCAAAGAAGAGAAAGTGATGATGGAGTTAATGATTTTTTGCGTTAATGTTTAAAGTTATTGATTAAGGTTAATGATTGAGGTTGATGATTGTCAACACGAAAACACTTACCTGTTTTTATTGGGTCCCTTATAACATGGATTATAGCCCTTTTTCAACGGTGTTGCTATAGGAAGAAGCAAAATCGTTTATGTCAGTATATTATCTAACTGATAAATGTGAATAAATTAACAAACAACAACAACAATAACAAAAACAGTGTAAAGGTTGCGAGGGGGGGGGGGGGGTATAGTTAAACTAATTGCAACTTATTTGCCGGTAAAGTTTTTCTTTTTTTCCTTTTTAGAAACACGAATTGTCGTTTGGCTTGAAACCAAACTTTAATCAGTAAACACACCAAACGCCATTAACTGATATGGACGACATATACTAAACCTAGATTTTTCTACAAATCCAGTCATCTCCTTGTGGGATGCAAATTTTCGTTTTTTGAAGGCCTACTCTGGCTCTTGCCAGGGGCCGCAAAAAAGCAGGCCATAAATATTGTCAAATGGCGGTTTCTGGGACCTCTCCACGGGTGATCCTCATCCACATGGTGGCCCTTTGTGTCATCGGGTGGTTATCGCTTGGGTGATGCTCTAGTAGGGTGAAAATTTACTACTACTACTACTACTACTACTACTACTACTACTACTACTACTACTACTACTACTACTACTACTACTACTACTAATACTACTACTACTACTACTACTACTACTACTACTACTATTACTACTACTACTACTACTACTACTACTGCTGCTGCTGCTGCTGCTGCTGCTGCTACTACAACATATACTAAACACTGGAAAATAAGGAACACTCGGTATAGGTGGCTGTGACAAACATGACACCGCTTATGAAAGTTTACGACTGGTGGGATCTTGTGTGGATCTGTTGCCTAGGTCATGCAGGGGTGGTCAGAGGGTGACAGGACCGAAATGTTTTCTTCGGGGTTATACGCTGTCACATTTAAAACATCTCGTAAGCGCTCACTAAAGATTTAAACACGTAGAGAATATGATCATAGAGAGTAGCGAAATAGACAGCAAGAAAATAGCAAGAGCACTTATATACCAGTCAGTAAAACATTAATACAACTACGCTGCGCAAAGAAGTAAAACATAAGTTTATTCATACCAGTACAGTGATACAAACAATCACTAAACTTGAACACTCAAAAAGTCACGTAAAACTAACGTTGTTAAACGACAGGCCGAATACAAGACGTAATGTAATCATTCAACATGGTTCGAATAATGATCAGACTGACTGGTGGAACAACACTTTTTAACACATTCAGAGAGGTGGAGAAGATTAATGGCAAAGGGATTTTGTTAGAATACAGCAACATTAGATACCAATATAAGCGCTTCATTCAAGAAGTATGAGCTGTACACACATGGCGTAATTATAAATGACCCACAGAGTATGTTGAGAAAAGTGGAGACAGGCATGCTCCGTAGTAGAGGTCCCGCGTACTTCGCGTCCTTTGGATATTTTCTCTAGGTATGACGGTGTGTTGGGAAGCGATCAGGCAGAAAGACTGGTCGGTTCTACAGCAGTAGGTTATGAACTGATGTATGACAAGCTAGATGTTTTGAGGGGTCTATGGGAGCGAGTGAACACTTCGAAGGCGAAAATAGACCATTACGGTCTGAGATGTCGGTGCGGGGAGCTACTAGAGGCTCTGGTCGATGCTCAACACTCAAGGGAAATGCGGGACAGTTGTACAATCATAGTTACTGGTAAAATCAGAACTGGATCTCTGTGCCTGCTGCTGAAGATGGGGTCAAAGCGCTTACGCTGGTGTCCTGAGTGTTGTGATGTCGATTCTTCATTCATGATATCCAAGGAGAGCTCATGCAAGAGCAAGAGGTTGACCAATGAGAAGATTCCCTTACCCAGTTCTCGATATTAGTGGCACATGAGGCTTCAGAGAGGACTTTCCATGCTTTCCTGTCCTGTGCAATCTTCAGTGCAGTTTTCCATGTCAAAGATGCCGCACTCAGGTCACTTTCCATCGTTCATCTCCATTTTGTTTTTGGGCGCCACTTTATTCTCTTTTCCTCTGGTGTCCATGTGAGAGCTGTTTTGGCAGGTATATCATGATTCATTCTCATAAGGTGACCAAGCCATTTCCATCTTCTCTTGGTTATCATACTGTATAGAGTTTCTTGGTTTGTGACTTGAAGTAGTTTAGTGTTTGAGATAATGAGAAGATTGGTTCTTGTCTGTCTTCTTTCTTTCAGTCGGTGTCCGTGCTTAGACATTGCCCGTGGCGTAAGCGATGCCAATGTCTTCCGTCATTCCGAGATGCTGGGTTCGATCCTAGCTCGGGCGATTTGACATCATCATCAATTTCCACTTCTGCCGTTAAGCGTTGTGGGGAGGAACAGTTTGCGATCCATTGCTTGATGGGTTCCAATGGCTATTGCCATTCTGTGTCGATGTAGAAGCTCTTTAATGTCATCAATCCATGTTTTCCTAGGACGACCTCTTGCTTTCCTACAAATTTCTTCATGTGTAGTGTCTGCATTGGTAGTTATTCTGGCTGCATTCTTACTGAATGACCAAACCATTCGACCTTCTGTTTCTCCGTGAATTTGCTGCATGGTTTTGTTCCTGCAGTCTGTCTGGTAATATCATTTCCAACTTTGTCTCGGGTGGTTAAGTTGGCGGTTTTTCTCAGGCATCTAATTTCAAAGATGCGAATTTTACGTTGGTTTAGCCTTTGATAATGTTCACGTCTACCATTGGTAGCACAGTGTTGGTATAAATATGCTGCTTACAATCTTTTTCCTAGCGCTGATACTTATGTTTGGATGTTTTAATAACGGTGTCAGTTGGTATATAAGTGCACTGGATCCTTGGCATCTTGTTTCTCTTTCCCGATCTATTCTTCTGTCCTCCAGAATATACTTCCTAAATATTTAAATTCTTCAACTTGCTTAAGACAAGTACCATTCAACCCAAAATGTAGCGAATTGTCGGCGGTTTGATAGCAGACGTTAAGACATTGTTCAACTCACGCGGAACGCCAGCCATCGCGTGTTTTATAACCATCTATTGCTCCCCAAGATGCTTGATGTAAGAAGTTGAAGATGATAGTTTTGGTTTAGACGACGGATCAACATCATGGCACAAGGGTAGTAACCCATAAGTGCCCCTTTCTACTTCTCATTCAAGCCTGAGTCTGAAGAATCTCAGCGCAGTACACGAACTCCGTAGCACCGGCCAGGATTCTGAAATACTTTGCGTAGATTTTTAACTCAAAATTTTGCCCGGGCAGCGCCGTAAGGAAGCTCTTTTCGATTTTCAATTGCCAAGGGATTTTCTTGCATGCGCAAGAATACACACGGGCGTCCGATCTTACTATCCAGAGACTAGTGGAAATTACTAGAAGTCCTCGTGGAAAAATGCCAGCCTTAACCGGGGCTTGAACCCGGGACCTCCAGCACTCTAGGCGGACACAATGCCTCGTATCCACTCAGCCTACTGGTAAGTAAAGTAAAGGTCCCTTTACACGCCAGTGGTGGATCGGGCATTTGAGGCCAGGCTCATATTTGTTATAGGCCTGTGGTGATGGGGTCAGCATTACACCAGCCGCCTTTACTTCTAGGCTGGGTCGGCCACAGAGAGAAGGTCCTGCTTGAAACATTCGGCGCCATGTGAATTTGAACCCACGACTAGCAGCTACACCTGGGTAGCTCCCAACTCAACCTGGTAATAGGGCACAAATAGCCATTCCCACTACGATTGCCAGCAAGGTATGAGCCAGCGCAGGAAACAAAGAAACAAACAAATATTTTATGATTCGAAAAGGAAAACTGATTGGGGGTGGGGGTGTTGGGGTGAGTTGGGGGGGGGGGGTGTATAACAAGGACGTTGATGTTTGTAAACAGTCACTTGCTGTCGCATCTAAACTCTGTGTAGCCATCTGACAAAGTCTAAAGTACCGCAAGAAACAAACAGTTTTTCTAACATTTACCAAACAAAATCATTAATAACTTATTAATCATCTTGATCTATCTGTGGAGGGAAACAATACTTGCTCAAAGCACTTGAAACATTATATTACCAGTAATCAATTACTGTTAATGTACGATATCGTCTTCAATAATACCTTCATGACTTGTTGCATTTTGAATTATTGCAATATATGAGGTAGTTATTTGTCACGCACGTGTACCTCTAACAGTTTTATAATACTAGTGTTTGTCTTGATTGTCAGTAAATGTACTGTTCTTGTGAACATAGTAACAGATTCTAAATGCAAACATCGGAAACGACTTTGCTAAATGCGTTGTTGTAGAATAGTCGTGTTGAATAGAAGAAAGGTACGAGAATTTGTACTGAGAGTTATGCGATGTCTGGTTTTGACGTTTATTTAACCAAGCTTCTTGGACAGAAAGAAGGGAGTGTAAAGATATTTAAACAGTTAATGAAATACAGTTCTGACTGAAATTTGGGGGAAAGGATATTTATGCTGACTATATTGTAGAGCCCAAGGCCGACCAAGAAGACGATGGAGAGATAACGTCCAGACAGACCTGCAAAAACTTGATGTCCCCAACTGGAAAGAGAAGGCCAATCATAAAGGTGAGGGGAGCCGGGTGATATCTGCAGCAATGAACCTCAAGGACTCAGAACGCTGCAGAAGAAGAAGGTGTCCAGTGTTGTCAGAATCTGAATGGTACTTTGAACATTCATGAATGAAGAATCAAAACACACAAGGAACTAAAACCGGTACAAGCTCTAGCCCTGAAGAAAGTGTCAATTGAAACTGTGTTTAGTCCCACCTAAAAATCACACGCGAATATAATCTAAGCAGGACACTGAATTCGTCCATTCTGTTTTCGAACTAAACTAGTTACCATATGCCAATATACTGTTGCATATCTGTCAAAATGATTCACTGTTAGGTCTGTTTCTATCTCGCTTTCTCTCTCTCTCTCTCTCTCTCTCTCTCTCTCTCTCTCTCTCTCTCTCTCTCTCTCTCTCTCTCTCTCTCGCTCGTTCTTCGTTTTCTCCCTCTCTCTCTCGTTCACTCGTTCCTTCTTTGTTTCCTTCCTCCTTCTCTCTCTCTCTCGTTTATTCGTTCTTCTTTTTCTCCCTCTCTCT